GCTTGAACTAGCATCACAGAGCAGCACACTGACTTTACATGGATGTTTCCTTCTGCACTTTTTCTCTCACGACAACAGGGCATGTTTGGTTTGTTCTTTGAGGGAAATAATTTTTTTGAAGCTGTTGTTGGCCTGTGGGAAAATGTAATCATAAGAAATGCATCTGCAGATAGAGCCATAAGAAATGAATGCAACTGATTATTTAATGTTTAATGTTGTTTTTATAGGCAATCATTTAAGCTTTGTTAGTTCCAGGTTTAATATGTGCAATAAGTTCATTTCATTAAGTTCTGCAATAAACATTGAACCAGTCCGGCCCTCCACTAGTACCCATTTTTTTATTTTGGCCCACCGTGTATTTGAGTTTGACCCCCCTGCCATAGATCATAATAAAGAATCATACAAATCTAAACCAAAATACTTTATTTATCTCTTTAGAAATTAGAACATTAAAACACAAAAAACAATGAAAATATTTCTAAAAACATCAGAAATATGCAATAAAATAAATATGATTGTTAATATATGCAAATAAAGATAACAAAATAATTATATTTTAATAAACATAGGAAGTTAAAGTAAAATATCCAATTCAAAATAAAATATGATGAAATGTAAATATTATTGCATTTGTATTAATATGATGTTAATGCTGTAAATTCATCAGACCTAGGCTCAATGCCAAATGCCACATTAGCTCCGTAATATAAAACAACTACCTACATATAATCTATATTTAGACACAGGAGTACTGTTATTTATTTGGGGCTATTTCTCAACTACAGCTACATCACTGTCTTTCATTTTGCCCTTGATTTTTTTAAAGACCGCGAGCTGTCAGACAGTTACTTCAGAGTCACTTGACAACAACTTGCCTTCAGTCTGAGGTCGTGACCCCCCGCCCCCCCTCAGTCACAGAGTGGTGTTTGGTCGCTCTCGGCTTGTCACCTGACTCTCAGACTGACAAAGAGCTGAAGACAGCCGACTCATGTTGTTGTGCTACATTTCTCAGCCTATTCTTTTCACAGAAATCCACATTCGTTCCACGTCGGGGACATTTACAGTGTTATAGTAGAACTAACATATGAAATATGTAATAAAGTGGTACTTTTAACTTCAGTAGAGGACCTGAATACTTCCTCCACCTCTGCCTACATGTGTATGGAAAGTGAAAGAAAGGCAAACAAGCGGCAGGGTTGTCGGACGAGTTGCAGTTTAATCTTGCAGCTGACTTATCACATGACTCGGGAACATCGAGCAGAAACGTTCTCAAACAGAAATAGACACCATTGTCACGCCCTGCTCTCTCTCGCTCGCTCTCTCTCTCTCTCTCACTCTCTCTCTCACTCTCAATATAAATTAAAATCAACTTTATTGGCATGACCATATAGAAACACAGTATTGCTTAAGGACATTATACAAGAAGGTTCAACAGTAAAACAGAACATATTAAAGAGGCCCTATTATGCTTGAAACGCCTCCATTGGACTCCTTTGTTTATTTCTGGATCGTAGTGACATCACTATGTAATACTCGCGCTTCTATTGGCTAGCGCTCCAACACATTGTACATCATGATAGGCTAAGGAGTTGACCAATCAGAGCAGACTGGGCTCTGGCTTATGGTTTCTTAACATTATCTTTCAGCCATCACCTTTTTATTTGCTTTTTAGATGAATCGTTTCTTATCAGAATGGAGTCCATCTCAAAGTCCAAGGTGACGTCTTCAAATTGGTTGAGCAACAGTTAAAGAGTGAAAATCAATTAACCATCACAAGACAAAAAAGCACAATTTAAAATCTATAAAAACAGCAAATGTATTTTTTTGTTTAATTAGGAAACGTTTGCTTTTTTCATTTTCATTGACTTATTGTTTACTTATTGATTATTTAGTTGTTCTGGCTTTTATAGTAACACAATAATATAACATTACTAATACTATAACATAAATTAATGTATGTGATACTTCTATATTACTTCTGTCATTTTACTGAATGCAGGATCGCATTAAGTTTACAAATCTAAAGCACGAATGATTAATTGATCATCAAAAGAGTTGCAGAATGTTCTGTTGATCAAAGTTATCAGCTTGATCTAATTTAATGACATTAAAAACACGCATTCTGCCTAATTATCCGTAGGATCTCAAACAGTCGTAAAGGTTGACTGGCCTTACCTATTTTTTGATATTGGTCAACAAACTTCAACATATGGTAGATAGAAAAACTCCTCTTCCTTATTACAGACGTTATATAATGACGACTGTTCAATGTCAAACGGGTTAGTTATTTTGGGGACAGTGAACTTGCAGAAAAGTTCAATTGAAAATGAGATATATCAATAGTTTTACGTTAGTGTTTGTAAAATATAAACAGGGTTCTTACGGTCATTAAAAACCTGGAAAAGTCATGGAAATTCAAAATGCTAATTCCAGGCCCTGGAAAAGTTATGGAAAACAATATTTTTCCCAAAGTTTTGGAAAAGTCATGGAAATGTAAAGTTGCATCAAATATAATTTATATTTGATCTAATCCCCAAAATAGTAATACTATAATGATAATAAATACTGTATCGTATAGTAATGAAACGTGAAATGGCATTTAACTGACGAGGTATTTTGCTGGTGAGAGATTTGAGTTGCTTTAGCGTGTAGAAGCTAGTAAGCCTATTTGTTTTAGATAGGCACTACATGTTTCATATGCAGACCTTATTTTCCTGTTCCATGTGAAAATAAACCATTTTCAGTGGTACCGCTGAGAGAGTAATTTGTTTTGGTCATGGAAAATTAGGTAAAGGTCCTGGAGAAGTCATTGAACATCATTGGTGAAAAAGTGTATGAACCCTGTATAAAGTATCACAGGAGCAGTTGCATGAGGCACTCACTGCTTCCTACTGTAGTTGTGTTCTTAGTAGGTCACTGTGTTGTTCAGTTACATTCCTTAATGATCCTTTTGTGGTAAAAGTATGTCGTGCTATCAGAGGGAGCAGAGGGCACACACACATAAAAACACTCTTTAAAAGCTTGTGCAAGTTTCTCCTAAACTGACTCGTCAATAGAACAATATTTACGAAAGAAACACGTTTTTGTAACAGTCAAACTGAAAATGCATAACAGGAATGGGAGGACTACAATGCGGTCATTAATTAGACACACACAGACACACAGTTCATCACAAAGGGAATTTGTAGCTTCACTGAATCCAAATGTGTTTCTATTCATGTCTGCTGGGAAGAAGAAACTGATTATTCATTGATTTTTGATTGCCGCTGCAACAGAGACACATGCTTAGCGTGTCACATGCTCTACATGTGGTAACTCATTTACAGACATCAGTTCCTCTCGCTGTGAGTTTATTTCACAAAATGTTTCCCACTGTTGTCTAATTATATTCCTCTGGTGAATAACGAGTGTACTGACAGCAGGGTCGGGATGTTACGCTGCACATGTTTACTTTGTGTTCGGGTCAGAAAGGGTTGGTGGGTTCAGACATTATTCTAACCGTCTGTCGCCTACAGAAACACACACGGATACCCAGAGTCTGTGGGATTCATTTTTACCTTTTTTAAAGCTAACATTTTATTATATAAGCGTTATAATAATCTATTCACGGAAATAACTGTAGCCGGGTATCATGACGTCTATATCCCTTCAAATCTGACATTTGAAAATTAGGTACTGAACGTTTTCGTGTAGCTTTTTGTAATTTGAGTAGTAATCGTGGTAATCAGATTACAAAGAAATATTATAATGAACCCGGATTACATTTGAAATAAATATGCGTGTAGAATATTCTTAACTTTTCAGGAAAAACGTCTTGTTTTAATTGTTATAATGATTTTTGAATAATGGAGTGTTTATTCCTTTTTGTGTGAATTGAAAATGGAGGAATACAGTGTTTCCGCCAGACCAGGGCTGAGAGGGCGTCCATTCAATTCAAAATTCACGTGTGTCACGTCGTGTCACGTCGTGTCACGTGACTTGAATTTTGAATTGAGCCGTCCCTTATAGATACTATCTCTTTACGTATTAGTGATGAGAATTCCGGATCATTTGGCTCGGCTCACTAAAAAGAGCCGGCTCCTAAACGGCTCTTCATGTTACCACAGTTCACCACGGAGCCTCAGTTTCGCCGCTGCGAGGCTCCGGCGCTCACAGTTCACGCGCGTGCTCCTCTAGCACCCCCCGTCAAGGCTCGCCGGCAGTACACTTTCCGTCACAGGAACACGCTTTGCTGACGGCGAAAAAGAATCCCACCAGACTCCTTTGCCCCTCCAACAGAACGATGTTTTTTTTGGACGCCAAATGACGGCAAGACGCCCCCCTGGCGGAAACGCTGGAGGAATACAAATTATTATTAATTACTAAATTTGCCATGTCATTTTTATTCAGTAACTGATTTCAAATGATTGAACACAACCCTGGTAGCTTTATGTTTATATCATGTTTGTATGGTTATCAATGAGTGCTAAAGGAAAAGTTAAAGGTCCCATGTCATGCTTTTCCGGTTATTACCCGTCCCCTTGTGTGTTATGAAGCTTTTGGTGGTAACGGTGGTGGACTCATCAGAACAGAGTGGGCGAGCTGACCAATCAGAGCACACTGGGCTCACAGGGAGGGGAGGGGGGGGGCAGGAGCTCCAACAAGCCGTTTAGGACAGAGAGTGAATACACATACTATACAGAGATGCTGTGTGAGAAACCAATGTGAGTTTGGAACATTGAACAATGTAAATCTATTCTAGTAGACCTCAACAATGGAAATATGATCAGTAGAAATGGCCATGACATGGGACCTTTTTAAAAGGAGTAAAGCTACGTTTTTGTATTATTCAAATTGTGTCCTTCACCCTTAAGTATTGTAATAACTGTAAAGTAAACTGAATTGCATTTCTGCATATTTCATTTTTTCTTATTGTAACGTGAGTGAGATTTCTACATATCCATCAAAAAACACAATGCTCTGTAATTGACATATTTTATTCTGTGTATTTTCCCGTGCAGGTGAGCTGTCTCTGCAGAGGCTCTCTGGCTCGGTGCTGGATTTCAACAGCACGGAAAAATGTCTGGGAAGCAACAACAACATCCAGACCAGCATCAGCTTCCAGTGTGGGAAAACCATGGTACACACACACACACACACGCACACGCACACGCGCACGCACACACGCACGCACACACACACACACACACACACACACGCGCACACGCACACACGCGGATGATTTGTGTTTCAAGGAGTGGTGTTTAGGCAGGGGGGGCTGAAGCTTAGAGAGAGGAAAGCCATTATGGTTGTGGTCTACATCGATATTATCAATTCCGTTATATGTGACTAGATATCTTCCTAGACTTTGGGTAATTTGTAAGACACTTTTTGATGCCTGCTTTGCAAAGTTAACGCTGCGCTTCTTGGCATCTATTAAGCAGCAATGAAGAGCTATATGGCCAAGGTGTGGCATATTTCAGCAATTTAATTTAATAGCTATCAAATGCAAATATGGACATGTGGAACTGGGACATGGCAAGCTCTGTAGTGTGGGAAATAATGCTGTGGAAACTGAATTGTTTAGTAGGCACCTTTTTTAGTTTATAACAGGAAGGTCAGCACATTTAAAAATTGGACACAGCAATGTTTTGCTCCATTAGGGATCTATATTGCAAAGTAGTCAGGTTTCATCAGCAGAAACTCAGCCTTATGAGGTGTTCTGTAGATGCAGGTTATTGTCACTCCACAAGCTACAAAGGTGAACAATAATAAACTTTACATGAGTATAAAGTGGCATCATTAACATGCACTACACTGTTGTGAAATGTTGAGTACATGTTAATGATCAGCTGTTTTGTATTCAGCATGTTATGATTTGTATATTTGACTAAAATGTAATGAGTTAGAATTGAAATGGATGTTTTCTTCACACAAGTTTAAAAGACATTTGAGCAGCTGTCGGCTCTCAGCTGCAATGACAGGAAGTGAGGGGGAATAATGTCGAACGATGACAGTCACCTGCTCGTTTGAGTCAATAATGTGTGTGTGTGTGTGTGTGTGTGCGGTTTCAGGGGATCGTGGTGGTGGGTTGACATTCACATGTGTCATTTCAGTTCACACCGAGCAGAAGAAAAACACGATCAGCTCTAGATTTTCCTTTTTACAAAGTGTAGAGAGGAGAAATGAAAGTGGCTTTTATTTACAACGTCATCTAATTCTGTGAAGAAGAAGAAGTCATGAGAGCCACATTGTGAAAATCTGTTATAATGATTAGACACAGACATACTTATAGGCATGATTTGGCAGTCTTCTTCCTCACTGCCTTTGTTCCTGGTTTCTTGGTGCATCCTCAGGGTGTCCGCGGGGTCTTAACAAGTATTAAGAGTTGATAAATCAATTTAGTGAAAATTAACGCTATTAAAAAGTATTAAACGGCATTTTCCAAGGTATTACATTTTGTAGCTTGTTTTCAATAAGTATATAAATGGTCCAAAGAGGTTGTATTCTACAGTCTGCCTGAATGTAATCATTGCGTAGGTGTGTAGTGTGATTCTGTGTAGTTTATTTATGGCATCCCGTTGGATGTGACGTCATCTGAACAGGACATCGCACGCTCACTGCTTGATAGCGCGCGAAGGTCCGTTTACGCCGGTTGTTAAACAACATCGTTATGGGGAAATGCAAGTTTGCGTCCAAATGGTTGGAAGATAAGGAGGAAGGACAATCAATACTGTATATAGTCAATGTGAGGTAAAGTGTGTCGCCAAGGTAACCGGTTAAAACTCAAAGTGGCGATGAGGTCTTAAAATGTATGGAAAGGGTCTTAAAAAAGGTCTTAAAAGGTTTTACATTTGACTTCAGGACTCCTGCATATACCCTGACTAAACCCATCTATCGATCAGAGAAGTATGTGAAACCTTTGACAGAAATGTGTAGTACAAACAAAATATGACTGGCATGTAAAACTATCACTGCATAGCGACATGAGGTTCAAAATGATAAATGGTAACTTTTAATTTATAATAGTATATATATATATATATATATAATAGCTCACGACAGGCCGTGGTATATGGTCATTATATCACAGTTAAGGGGCGTGGTTCGGCCCGACGCGAAGCAATTAGACAGACCGTTAGACAGACAGCGTTGATCCATTATTTGGCTATTTATTTACATTAATTTGTATGTTGCCGTTTATTGTGCACCCACTGAAAAACTGTCCAGCATCAGTAGCATGGCTTACGTGGTTACTTGTATAGGTTGAGGTTGTACTAGGCTGTTGCTTGGCGTGGCGAGAATATCGCTCCACTTTCTCCGGTCCCCGAGATTCAGCTTCCAGTAGCTCTGGAGAGAGCTTTCGCACCTGTGGCCACTAACGGTCATAATTTCTCTGCTTTGTTTCAAGACCCGCATCAGAAAGCTTTTGAATGGTGGTACTTCTCCAGTTGGTCTACCTGCTCTTCACGTAGCTCTACATGTCGTTTAGGTGCTTTTTGTTCTGGAGATAGGCACTGCTCAATCCACTCCTCCATAGTAAGACCTCGGCCCCCCGGAGGTCGAAGTTAATCTTAAATGTTTCCATCTTAAGCTTTGTTAGTTAGTTAGTTTCGTAACGGACGTAATGTAACAGTTGTAGCTTTTTCTCAGACGCGGAGGGATACATGACTTGTGAAAAGTAACTACAGTTCTACCCGTGATATACGCTCATTATACCACGGCTAAGAACCAATCAGATTGCTTGATTTGACTTGTCCATTTTAGAGTGGAGAAAAATGTTTCCCACAACACCTAAAACTCACTAAATAAGTGTAAAATATGTTCCTTGTGATAGACAAAAAAGTAGAAGAAGGTGTAACGGAGAGTGAGAAGAGTTGAAAAAGCAAATAAATTACCATGTATTTTTTCTTTTAATGTTTATTTTATTATCTTTTATTTTTAATGACTGATTTTAAATGCCATTTTCTTAATGTCTTCCATTTTTGTAAAGCACTTTGAATTGCCTTGTGTTGAAAGGTGCTATATAAATAAACTTGCCTTGCCTTGCCTTGCCTTGCCTTACCACTCTATCAACAAGTGTTCTTGAAAAAAAACCTTGAGCAAGCACTGAACCTTCATCCACTCGACTCTAAATGTGGAGAGTTGATGTTAACCATTTATATACATGTACTGTCATGGGGCCTGGCAAATGTTATCCACTATACCAGTTTAATAGAAACAGAATAAGACATGTTTGTGTGTTTCAATGCGTCTGTGTTTCTGTATTCCAACAAAAACACAGACACAGTCGCCATTAAGTGAATCACATGTTTTGTATTTGTCTGTGTGTTGAATTGTTACTGCCTGCTACACAGCACTATAATATGGAACTGTTGCACCTAAGAACTATTTTCTCTCAAAATCTCCATATGTGGGAGGCTGTATTTTGCATCCGTCTCACTCCTGTTCCTGTGTGTGCTGCAGGGGACCCCGGAGTTTGTGGCTGTGTCTCAGTGTGTGCATTACTTTGAGTGGAGGACGTACGCCGCCTGCAAGAGAGACAAATTCAAGCCACACAAAGAGGTATGTGGAGGAACATCTGACTCACCGATGAGACGGTTTCTCTGTGTTGAGGCGTCAGATGTGAGAAACCAAGAGCCACAGAGGTGTTTCAGAGGAAATCGAAAATGTTCTTCCCACTCTTGTGAGGATGTACTGCATGTAGTTAGAACATGTCACATGTTGTTACAATGAAGCTGTTGATGTGAGTTTAATGTGGAAACATTGAGAGAATGTGTGAAATTAATTACATTTGCTTTTATAGCATCGGATATCTGTTGCAAAATACAAATTCTTGTACTTTTAACTTACTGGTCAACATTTTGCCCACCCAAAACTGTCCAGTCGTTTTGCCTTAAAACAGATTTTTTTTTAAATATTTGTTATAAATATGTTTACATATTTCCTTCAAAACACCAAGACAAGTTTCCCTAATGTGCAAACCTGCTTTATTTGGCAAATAAACGTTTTTTTCAGATACTAATTTAAAAAAGGATCTTGTCATTTTCATTAAAATATTAATTATTTTGTGAATTAACAAATTAGGATATTTATTTGATTCACATTTTTTGTTTTAAATGTTGTTCTGCTTCTGTGTAATAGTTGTTAATTATATTAACCAATATTGGCTAATACAAATAATAATTAAAATATTTTAAAGTATGAAAATGACTTATTGTACCATTACAAGTCACTTTGCTTATGAAAATGAAATATCCACCCGTTAAGAGGGATTTGTATTGCATGTAGGCATAATTATCACTTACAATTAGTATACTATGAGAAGCTGCAGACTTTTTGTATAGAACCATTTGCATTACCATACATGTCACATAAGACATTTCTTATGTATTTGAGTGTCTTTAAAGGTCCCATGTCATGCTTTTCCGGTTATTACCCGTCCCCTTGTGTGTTATGAAGGTTTTTCTGCATGTAAACGGTCTGCAGAGTCACAAACTCTCAAAGTACACCCTGTAGGGAGTAAAACTCTAACACAGAAAAGACCTGTCTATGCTGCCCCAGAACGCCTCGTTGAAGATGTCGGTACTGTAATATGACACTACCTCCTTTGTGTGCAGGTGCCTTGCTACGTGTTTGACTCTGACGGCAAGAAGCACGACCTGAACCCTCTGATCAAAGTGAACGATGGATATCTGGTGGACGACGGAGACGACACCATCGACTTCTACATCAACATCTGCCGGAGCCTCAGTCAGTACCTCGGGGGGGGGGAGGGGGAGATAAATGACTTAGATAATGAAATACCGAATTTGATTAGGTATTTAGTAATATTGTAGGGTTAAGGTTGTATGTTTTTTTAGTTCTGAGAAGATCTTGAATGATATAACTGAGTTTGGTTGCAAAAATAAGACACCACAGACCTAAAGAAGTGAAATATGTCTTTGTTTGGAGGCAGAGATGTGTATACCCCCTTAATATTGTTGCCATATATACCTTGACATTTCACCTTAACCCTTGATCATATTTGACTGTGACGTTGCCATACATTATGTATATGTTCCAATTTGATTTCCTATTATAATCAAACCTTGTTGTCTTTCCCATCATCTCATATCCTCCATCTTACTCCTTCAGATCGACCGGATGGCTCGTGTGCAGAGGGCTCTGCCGCCTGTCTGGTCACCAGCCACGGATCCTACGACATGGGCTCTCCTACCGCACAGCTGGAGCTGCTGTCAAATGAGAGGTATAAATACAATAATATTTGAAGAAATTAATAGAAAACAAAGTCCTTGTTGAGCTTCTACATCATACGCGTCTCATTTATTACACAGTAGGATAAACTCTTAAAGGTCCCCTAATATGCAAAATCCACTTCTTCATATCTCTTCTACATCAACATGTGTCCCCTCTTCTTCATGTCTCTTCTACATCAACATGTGTCCCCTCTTCTTCATGTCTCTTCTACATCAACATGTGTCCCCTCTTCTTCATGTCTCTTCTACATCAACATGTGTCCCCTCTTCTTCATGTCTCTTCTACATCAACATGTGTCCCCTCTTCTTCATGTCTCTTCTACATCAACATGTGTCCCCTCTTCTTCATGTCTCTTCTTCATCAACATGTGTCCCCTCTTCTTCATGTCTCTTCTACATCAACATGTGTCCCCTCTTCTTCATGTCTCTTCTTCATCAACATGTGTCCCCTCTTCTTCATGTCTCTTCTACATCAACATGTGTCCCCTCTTCTTCATGTCTCTTCTTCATCAACATGTGTCCCCTCTTCTTCATGTCTCTTCTTCATCAACATGTGTCCCCTCTGTGGAAAGAGATTCTGAAAGTCTCAGGAACAAAGATTCTCTCTCTTTTCGTCCTGATCCATTTCTATAAAAACCTGTCTGAAAATGAGCTGATCAGATTTTGGCCACTTTATGATGTCATAACGATGTGTTGGCTTGAGTAACCATTAGCCAATCAGCAACCAAGGTAACCCCCCCCCCCCCACCTTATCACCTGAATCTCCTCCTAGAGCACCATTGAGTTCTTTGTAACCAAATCTCTCTCAGAGGGGCGTGGGGAGGGGCTCCTTATTTTCATCTAAAGTAACAGACAGAGAATCAGCACTTTGGAAACAGGGCTGAAACAGAGGGGATTATGGGATGCTGCAATGATCTGTTTGGTGTTTCAGCCAATCAGAGACAGGTTCTGTATATATCTGAGACCTATAATATATTGATGAAAAACAGTATAATAGGGGACCTTTAAGTGTAAAACATTTAAAAAAAGCTTTGAAAATATATTTAGTCTTCACTTTCTTGTCTCCTCTCCTCTGCAGACTGAGGTTAACGTATAACGCCACCAGTTCAACTCCTCCAGACATCTGTAAGGAACACACTCCAGCCGTCACCATCACCTTCATCTGTCCGTCAAGCAGACACTCGGTATGTCACACACACACACTCATGTGTATATATATATATATATATATATATATATACATACTTATTTCTAAAGTAACTCATGCATTACTGATACAAATCCTTTGGCTCCACAGGGCAGTCCTCCTAAGATGATAGCGGAGTCCAACTGTCGTTACGAGGTGGAGTGGGTGACGGAGTACGCCTGTCACAGAGACTATCTGGAGAGCAATAACTGCAAAATGACCAACGACCAGCACGACATCTCCATCGACCTGACACCGCTCACCCTGAGCTGTAAGTACATCGAACCTCTTAACCACAGACTAACAACCTAGTGGTCTGCTGTGAGAAGAATTTGGTGTTGCGTCAGGCCCATAAATTAAACATTTCTCTAGTTTCTTTGATTCTGAAGTATCACTTAGCTGCTCAAAGGGGCCCTATTATGTTTTTAGGGGGGTTTCCCTTACCTGTTTGTTTGTTATATAGGTTTGTGTGCATGTAAATGGTCTGCAAAGGCTAACATGTCAAAGTTTGTGCTGTTAGTTTGCATTCATTTTCCTCATTCCTCAAAACGGTTCTTACAAACTACTGAACAAACAAGCACAAAATAAGGTGTTGTTCTTTTAGTAGGTATGAAAGTAACACACTCAAAACCCCAGTTAGCCACATGTTTGTACTTGAACTACACACATGAATTGTTGTCTCATAGTGCTGCTGTTTCTAGTTAGAGGAAGTAACTGTATGAGTAAACCATTCTGACCTTCCTGTTTTTAGTAAAGTCATTGTTGGTTATAAAAAAAGTATTTTTCCACTTTATGATAGTCTGCGTGTGACAAGATGTCGGCCACAGTTCACTCTCTGACTAGAACTACTTTATATCCTGGTGTTAATACAAGATTGAAGTCAGGAACTACTTATTTTTTGTCATTGGAACAGTTCCACATTTTGAGAAAGCTTGTTATTGGCTTTCTCACTAATGGCGCATTTCCATTGCAGGGCCTCGCTCGGCTTAGTACGGTATAGTTATGCCTTGTTAGGCCAGGCTCACTTTATGCTGCGTTTCCATTACAGTTTAGTAGCTGGGGTAGTAACTATAGTAACGCAGTGTAGGCGGAGCCGTGACGTGATCTTCAATGAGAACCACAAAACCAACATCAGCCGTTAGCTGTTAGCACTCAGAGCTCACAGCTCCTCACATCTGTTCAGAAACTAGACAAAAGTTAAACAAGTACAAACCACAGACTGCCTGTCTCATGGAGAATACAGTCGCTGGTTTATTTATGTCTGTATAGGCCGTTGTTGTGAGTGTGGACGGTCGGAGCATATACTGCGTTAGCTTAGCCAATCTCCATTCAGAAAACACGCATTTTAAAAGGTTTTTCGCCTGCCGTCTGTCTGCAGACTTGACAAAGCATTAATTCATGGTTTTTACTAACCGGTATCAGTATGTTGTTACTTCGGCATCATTTTGAAACGTGTATTACAATTAAATCACGGTCAAATATGTTCATCTTGTTGTAGTTGTAGCCCCCTTGCCAGCGATTCTCTCTCTAGTTTAGCATACTCAGCCCGACTCAGCCTGGTTGTTTGCCCGCTAAGAACCTCGACTTTATGGGGCCAGAAAAACTGTGAAATAGTACCCACTAGCCGGTACTACGCCAAGTGGAAACGCAACCAAAAACAGGCCGGGCACGGCACGCTTAAACCGCGCTCCGCGCTGTAGTGGAAATGCGCCATAAGTTACATAAAAACATTGATAAATAATTGTTTAAAAAATCATCTAGTGACTAAAATACAACTTTAGTGATGCTATTTTTAGAACGGCCAAAATACTGACCAACTGTGTGTGTGTGTGTGTGTGTGTGTGTGTGTGTGTCTACAGCTACAGACCATCCGTACTACGCACATACTGGGGACGACAGCTACGTTTATTACCTGAACGTGTGTGGAAAGGTCCCCAGCGGCGAATGTGGCGAAGACCCGTACGTCTCGTCCTGCCAGGTGAAGAAGATCGGGGACGTGAAGAAGGTGGCTGGACAATATAAGAACCAGACACTACGGTAATGTTTGATTTTGATGGTTTTGTTTTTATATTACAGTTGAGATTTTATAAATGTAGTAAAACGCACCTTCCTGCTCTGCTAACATTGAGCTTGTATCTCATGGTTGTTTTATCAATATAATATTTATAATGATACTATATCAACTGTCTACCAGGTTGAAGTTTCTTTTAAATGTTTGCCACAATTCAAAACATGTTTTTGTTGTAATTTAATCATAGCTGGAGTGTGTCCATCTTTCTGTATCAATATAATGGCATTATACAAACTTCCGATTACAGTACTAATTCTATTTTTGAGCATGATTATTCCAACAATTGTATGTACAAAGTTGACTTTTTCCAATATTTTAACCAAGGAAAAAAGGGGAAATAGAGAAATCCTCATTCAACACTTCATGTTAAACAGTTGCCTTATTGATGAAATGGCAAACATTGATAGTACTGTACATTTATTAAGTATTTCTTTCTACAAATCTCTTTTCCTCTGCAGTTATTCAGACGGAGATCTGACTCTGATCTACCCGGACGGCACCAGATGCTCCACCGGCTTCCAGAGAATGACCATCATCAACTTTGAGTGCAACAAGAACGCATGTAAGACAGAACACAGAACATTTCCCCTGTTTTTGACGCAACTATTTTTTGCACCTTGGCATCATCTGGTGGTAATATCAGTAACTACACAGTGGAAGATTGCAAGTCTTGATGCTACTAAGACTTGTACCATACATGATGCAGAAACTTGTTGTTTTTGCAGCGAGCGGTGGACGAGGGGTTCCAGTTTTTGCGGGCGAGACAGACTGCACTTACTACTTTGACTGGGATACGGCTTTCGCCTGCATCAAGGAGAAAGAGGATCTACTTTGTCAAGTCAGAGACGACACCAAACACTACGACCTCTCAGCCCTCACAAGAAACCTTGGTGAGTTCAAATGTCAATATTGGCCTCTTAAAAAGCTATTTGGTGTGGCCATATTCCCTCAATATTGTGTCTGTTCCTCTGTGTGCTGATCCAGGGTCAGATGCCGGAGGGAACTGGGAAGCGGTGGATGATACATCTCCAAAGCCAGACTCTCGTTTCTTCCTGAATGTTTGTCACAAAGTCATCCTGACAGGAGATGCTGTCGGCTGCCCGATGGACGCCTCCATCTGTGCCGTGGGTAAGGATCTACACGAGGATGGGGGGGTTTCTAAAGTCTAAAGAAATGACTAAAAACGATTTAAATGAGACTAAAAACGATTTAAATGAGACTAAAAACGATTTAAATGAGACTAAAAACTGTTGAAATGAGACTAAAAACGATTTAAATGAGACTAAAAACTGTTGAAATGGGACTAAAAACGATTGAAATGGGACTAAAAACTGTTGAAATGGGACTAAAAACTGTTGAAATGAGACTAAAAACGGTTGAAATGGGACTAAAAACTGTTGAAATGAGACTAAAAACTGTTGAAATGAGACTAAAAACTGTTGAAATGAGACTAAAAACTGTTGAAATGAGACTAAAAACGATTGAAATGAGACTAAAAACGATTGAAATGAGACTAAAAACGGTTGAAATGGGACTAAAAACTGTTGAAATGAGACTAAAAACGATTGAAATGAGACTAAAAACGATTGAAATGAGACTAAAAACGATTGAAATGAGACTAAAAACGATTGAAATGGGACTAAAAACGGTTGAAATGGGACTAAAAACGGTTGAAATGGGACTAAAAACTGTTGAAATGGGACTAAAAACTGTTGAAATGGGACTAAAAACTGTTGAAATGGGACTAAAAACTGTTGAAATGAGACTAAAAACGATTGAAATGAGACTAAAAACGATTGAAATGGGACTAAAAACGGTTGAAATGGGACTAAAAACTGTTGAAATGAGACTAAAAACGATTGAAATGAGACTAAAAACTGTTGAAATGAGACTAAAAACGATTGAAATGAGACTAAAAACGATTGAAATGAGACTAAAAACTGTTGAAATGGGACTAAAAACGATTTGAAATGAGACTAAAAACGATTGAAATGAGACTAAAAACGATTGAAATGAGACTAAAAACTCTTGAAATGAGACTAAAAACGATTGAAATGAGACTAAAAACGGTTGAAATGGGACTAAAAACGGTTGAAATGAGACTAAAAACTGTTGAAATGAGACTAAAAACTGTTGAAATGAGACTAAAAACGATTGAAATGAGACTAAAAACGATTGAAATGAGACTAAAAACGATTGAAATGAGACTAAAAACGGTTGAAATGAGACTAAAAACTGTTGAAATGAGACTAAAAACGATTGAAATGAGCCTAAAAACGATTGAAATGAGACTAAAAACTGTTGGAATGAGACTTGAAATGGATGAATGAAGAAATGAGACAAAGAAATTATAAAGTGGAACAAAAAACAGATCAAATTTAGACTAGAAACAAATTAAATCTGACTAAAAACTGCTGTAATGAAACAAAAAATTCCACTTGTTCCTCTTTCTCAAGATTTCCTTTCTCTATTTATTTATTTTGTGTATATATAGAAGCTTTATGTATACATTCCCCTGGTAACTTTTAGCATGATATATCATCCTTTTATAGAATAGAGCTGGGTTTTAAACGCTTTAACTGATGCAAACTCATCTAAATGTGCCTTGAATAACGTAGTCTGCGACATACCTCTGCGATAGATGCCATTTATTGACATGTTTTTATTGTCTCCCTGTGCTTCAGATACGAAACTAGGGGCCATCAGCCTGGGCAGCTTCCTCTCCTCTCCCCAGAAGACTAAAGTAGGAAATGACATCAGACTGGTTTACACTGAGGGAAGTGTTTGCAGCGATAAAAAGACAAGGATCCAAACCATCCTGACACTCAAGTGCAAACCAGGTACAAAGTCATTAGCACCTTTATAATGTTATAATGTATTCTGTGATTCTCTATCTATTCGGTTTCTCTTCTCAAACCTGTTCCTCTGTGCAGGAGATCTGGAGAGCGCTCCTGTCCTCCGCAGCGTTTCCTCTGATGGATGTGTGTATGAGATGGAGTGGTACACCGCCGCCGCCTGCGTCCTCTCCAAGGCTCAGGGAGACGACTGCAGGGTGGAGGACCCTCAGGCCGGTACGACACACACCTTTAATCCACCTGGTGTCTGACTCATCAGTGTTTGACTTGAGCTAGAAAAACACAGCAGTGAGGGAAAGACAAGAAAGAGGCAACCGGGTTAATGGGGATTGATGCGTTTGACTTCAATAATAAAAAATAAATCTCCGAACCCCCCCTAAAAGAGGTTAGGTCCCGTCCCCCCCCACTTAAAAAAAAATAGCACTTTACCCCTGCTTACACCTATATGCCATGAGCTGATTATCGAGCCTTCATTGTATCAGTCGCGGGTGTATGTGCGTTTGGGGAGCGTTGCAGTTGAACAGGGTTTCTCAAACTTTATCATACCATGGACCAATTAACCAATAAAAAAACACTCGCGGACCACCTAACTCCACAAATATCCAAAAACACATCGTTTTTCTAGAACAGATTACAAATCGCCAGAAAATGGTACAAACAAGTGGCAACATGTGTGACGAAGGTGTTGCGCTGGGCTATATCATGCAATTGAAAGTGACCCGAACCCTTCAGCTCGCTCCATTGCGGAGATATTCCCGCGAGTGTGCGGAAAACTTAAATGTATTTATTTATTTAAAATGTGAAATGTTACCAATATACTCACGGACCACTAGGGGGCGCTCACGGACCACACTTTGAGAAGCACTGCAGTAGAACATTCCACTGTAGCGCCCGGGACATTAATGGGAAACCCTAAATGTTTGAGCAGCCTCTATGAAACGTCAAGCTACCCCACAGCACCCCCAAAAGAAAACCGCCATGTGCCGACACTGGCCGCGGCACATGACGGTTTTGTGTGCCCTCCCATGAAAATCATATGCCCTCTCTGTAGATTTGTTCTGGCGCCGGGTCTGCATAAAGATCCAAAGCAAAACAATAATGAATTCCTAAGTAGAGAAAAAAAGAAAGGAACATCCTAATAATGGCAACAAGTATTTTAAAGGGGACCTATCATGCAAAATGCACTTTTGTACGTCTTTTATACATGAATATGTGTCCCCGGTGTTCCAGGGAACTCACCAAGTGTCAGAAAACACAACCCTCTCTATTTTCCTCCATACCCAAATCTCTAAAAAAGGGGCTACAACGGATCTGATAAAAACTGATCCAGATTTGAACACTGTCCTGACGTCAGGACGGTGGCGCTACGGCTATTGGGCCAACTCCACCAATCAGGAGGAGACAGCCACGGCCATTGCCGTTCGAAAGCGCTGGAGACGCTGTAGTACATATGCCAGGCCTGTAGGATGGTGCTGTTCTCACTGAATCATGCCCTTACTAAACACAGAGCTAAAAATTGTCAAATTGAGCAAAATGAGGCATGGCTAAAATGCATGATCTGTTTGGTATTTTGAAAAAAAAAAAGTATAAATATGCCTTATATAGGTATGGTCCTACACTATATTATTCAAATATAGCATGATAGGTCCACTTTAAGATATACAAAATAAAATAATTTAAAGTATGAGAAACAGAAAGTACATTAAAGTAAATATTGAATTATAACAAATGTGTTATTACAGGTTTATCTATTAGGTTCTGCTTGCTCATATATATGTTACTCATTTTGAAAACACATGAGGAAGTTTCTCTGCTTGTCCTACTTCCTCAACTTCACCAGGTGGGGACTTCCAGGCGTTTGAACCTCTCTGAGTCACGTCTTTATGTCACATGAGAGTGAATCATCATATGTGAATCATAAAGAGCGTACCTGTGCTGCCATCTAGTGGTTTCTTTGTGTTTCCACTCCTCTCCTGTTGACAGAGCCATTATCTGACTTCTCTCTGATGTGAGTTGTTTCAATCTTCCTCTCTATCTGTCCTTCGTTGCTCCGCAGGGTTTTCTTTCGACTTGTCTCCTCTCTCCAAAGCCGACGGTGGTTTCTACAACCTGAGCAGCAACCACTACGATTACTACATCAACGTGTGCGGTCCTGTCAAAGCTGCCAGCTGTCCGGAGAAGGCTGGGGCGTGCCAGTCTGAAAAGAGGTGAGAAGAAGCCAAAGACATGGGCTTATGATGACACATTTGAACTGTCATTACTTTGTCATTACTGTCTCTTTTTTTTATGTAAGAAACACAATGTAAAAGGCATGCTTATGCAACAGAGATAGATGAATAGCTAAAAAACTAAATCAAAAATCTAAAGTGGGTTTTCTAGTTTGAAATACTACCTGTTAGATCAGGGGTGTCAAACTCAAATACACAGTGGGCCAAAAATAAAAAAATGGGTACTAGTGGAGGGCCGGACTGGTTCAATGTTTATTGCAGAACTTATTGAAATGAACTTATTGCACATATTAAACCTGGAACTAACACAGCTTAAATTATTGCCTATAAAAACAACATTAAACATTAAATAATCAGTTGCATTCATTTCTTATGGCTCTGTCTGCAGCTTTTCCCGAGTCATTTCTTATGAGTACATTTCTCCACAGGCCAACAACAGCTTCAACAAAACTATTTCCCTCAAAGAGAAAACCAATCATGCCCTGTTGTCGTGAGAGAAAAAGTGCAGAAGGAAACATCCATGTAAACTCAGTGTGCTGCTCTGTGATGCTAGTTCAGATACTTGGCATCTCATCTTGGGTGCAAGTTCATCAATGTTTGGGGTCAGGCTCTGAGCGGAGGAGACCCTCAGGATTGAGTGAAGGTGCAATATACTGGCGGATCTAATAGTAATTCGAAATGATCCTGCGGGCCGAAATTAAATCCACCAAGGGCCTAATTTGGCCCCCGGGCCTTGAGTTTGATGCATGTGCTCTAAATCATATTGTAGTTTATCTCGGGTGTTCTCTTTCTTGTTTTTCCACTGAACATTCGTAAGAGCACCACAGTTGTATTGTTTTAGATTAGAAACATACATTTTTGGCAGCTTTAGTTGTTTTTAAATGTATACCGCCAACACTAGGTTCACCGTATAAGTGTTTATATAAAGAATTATTCACATTTTGATGATTTAGGTCTTATGATTCGTATGTTATCGATACGTTTGTCTTGTTTTTATCTTTCATTTCCACTTACTTCCTCTGCTTGCTTGACTCTTGAGCTTCTGTGTACATTAGCTGGGTATGGGCTCAATCAAGTGAATCTCTTTTCTCATGTTGTTATTTTCCCTGTTGCTTCAGTTCTTGGAGTCTCGGGGAAGCGAACTCTCGCCTGTCTTACTACGACGGCCTGATCCAGCTCACCTACAGCAACGGCTCCCAGTACAACAACAAAGAGCACACTCTCAGATCCACTCTCATCTCCTTCCTGTGTGACCCTGAAGCCGGAGCTGGAAAACCAGAATTCCAGGTATAATATGCCTCTGGATTTTGTCTATAAACACCCTTTTTCCCCCTTTTTTTTACAATACATGTTGTGGGGGAAACTTCTGAAGCAATAGGAGTCAGGACTCAGAGAGACACGAGGAGAGCTGGAGCTTTGATGGAGTCAGGACTCAGAGAGACACACGATGGAGAGCTGGAGCTTTGATGGCAAACACTGACGGTTTATTTGGAGCTTCGGCCGGAGAATTCACAAGACATGTCACGGGTCACGGTCTGACCACACGGTTGAGATGCCACAATCAATTCTGAAGCATCCTCCTGTAGCTCCAGGTTTTAACTAGTTCAGAGTGTAATAATCAACATTCTTCAATAGTTAGACTAAACAGCTGAGGACACTGAACCACATTTGTTGTCGCTTATGGCTCGAGGTCATCTACACCCAGAGAAGGATGTGTTCCAGGTGTCCCACAACAATAACTATCTCTGACCGAGAGTTGCCCGGTCACAAACTGGTAACAACAACTTGCTAGGGCAGCCCCTCCTTAAGGGAGATAACGGCTGCTCAAGGCTGGTCAGCTGCGTCAGAGGGCGAAGGAGGACATGCAGGGCAAATTATTCCCCAACACATGTCTGTTTCTTTATGTTTTTTCTTCTGGCCTTTCTTCAAAAATAACTTTGCACATCACCAGTATGACGTTCAGTTTTAATTTGAATCTTCTGAATGCAGGTTGAGGACAAGTACACGTATAACTTCCGCTGGTATACATCCTACGCTTGTCCTGAGAGGCCTCATGAGTGTTTGGTGACAGATCCCGTCACTCTAGAGCAGTACGACTTATCCAGGTAATGCACAGCTACATGTTTTATTCATTCACCAAACAACCAGGATGTTGAGTGACTCCTGAATTGTTTTCTTCCTTCTGCCTCCAGCTTGTCCCGCTCCACCTCCATGAAAAACTGGCAGACGATGGACTTGACTGACACTATGAACTTGAAGAAGTACTACATCAACATTTGTCGTCCGATCGTCCCCGTCACAGGCTGCGACCACCATGCGTCCGTCTGTCAGATGAAGTACATCTCTGACCAGGTCTGTAACTGCTAGAAACAGAATGAACCCTTAAAGGGGACCTATCATGCAAAATGCACTTTTGTACGTCTTTTATACATGAATATGTGTCCCCGGTGTTCCAGGGAACTCACCAAGTGTCAGAAAACACAACCCTCTCTATTTTCCTCCATACCCAAATCTCTAAAAAAGGGGCTGCAACGGATCTGATAAAAACTGATCCAGATTTGAACACTGTCCTGACGTCAGGACGGTGGCGTTACGGCTATTGGGCCAACTCCACCAATCAGGAGGAGACAACCACGGCCATTGCCGTTCGAAAGCGCTGGAGACGCTGTAGTACATATGCCAGGCCTGTAGGTGGTGCTGTTGCTCACAGAATAATCCCTTACAAAAACAGAGATAACATTTTTCAAATTGAGCAAAATGAGGCATGGCTAAAATGCATGATCTGTTTGGTATTTTGAAAAAAAAAAGTATAAATATGCCTAATATAGGTATGGTCCTACACTATATTATTCAAATATAGCATGATAGGTCCACTTTAACGTTGTAATCCCCAACGGTTATTACTACTGTGGTGACACCATATTTTGGTTTGCCTCAGCAGAAACTTAAAACAGTATTAACTCCAGGGATTTTTACCAAAGACACCCAGTTCCTATATACATCTAACAGAAATACAAACGGGGGGGGAAGAGAGAGCACGCTCGTGAACTGTCAACGGGGGTGGGGGGGTGCGCACACACGTGAACTGTTAGCGCCGTGTTATGCATGCCCACTGCACCTCGCGGGAGCGCGCACAGCGTAAAGCCAAAACTCACAGACATTTAAATGATTTGTACGGCCAAGTTAGGTCTGGAAACGGTATCATTTCCCTTTGGCGCTGTTCCGAGTTTGTTCTAATCTGTCAAAATGACGGACTGCTTTCAGATTTTCCCGCCATTGTTAAAGAAAATTCGTCATACACGGAAAATATTCGGTTAAAGCGACCTCTGCTCTGTATATCCTCCAGAGACCCACCCATTCATTGTTGTCCTCTGTGGAGCACATTGGGTTTTGGTCCATTACTTTGAGGTTATACATGCCACAGCATTAAGTCTAATTGTACTCCACAGAGGACATCCTGGGCTTTTCAAACATATTACATATGTGGGGGGGTGGCTTTGAAAAAGATAATTTCATTGTATTTCAAAATGGCATCCATCAACACAAGCACTATTTATAGAAAGAGAAATGGTAAGTTTGTAATTTTGTAATTACCAGTGTTGTGAGTAAAATATTTAAATTAATGATAGTAAGGGAACATCTTAGGAGTTAGTGTAGTGAGTTTTCAGAGCAGTGTAATAATGATTTGACCTAAAACTAAATGTTTTTATGAATGTCCTCTGAGGAGAACATGGGGATTTGCTAACTTTTTATTTCCTCCATTTTACACGACACAAATGGAGTCCACTACGGGCCAAACTAACACGTAGGTTTCTGTAGGGTTCATGGCAGACGGATGCACGGGGAACACATACATCAAGTGCCTCAAGTGTCAGATGTATCTCTGCATTTCAAAAAAGCATGGAGTACTACAAAGAGGGCTCAGTATTTGTTGCATCGAGTTGTTGTGCTCTAATGTTGTCTAAATGTACTTGTATGTTAATGTTGTTTGTATACTACAGAGGACACAATAAAACAGTTGTTAGTCATTATGTTAATCCCACCCTAAAGACTTGTGTGATCTTTTTCTTTCTGGGTCTCAGGAGGATTTATATTGTAATCTACATGTTCTATATTGTAGTACATGTGTTAACTGACTTCAAACTTCTTAAGTTTAAATTGATCTTTTATTATTTCACTTTAACTTGTTATGTGTATATAAATATCTTTATTGCATTTAAATCTTTTTATTGCCCATTCCTTATTTAACGTCCTATGTTCACAAAAGTATTTTTATTTACCTATTTTTTTTCTATTTCAAGAATTTCACTAGGGATAAATACAAATATTTAGATTTAGATTTATAGGCTCAATCATTGTGTGCCCTTAAATGGTATTAGCTAGTGACTGAACAGACACTTATGTACATGTATTTGCCACTTTCAAGAGCTCATCAGCTAAGGTCTTTTCGTGACAGGAACATCTTGCTATGTGCATCTTGAAAAGTTGCCAGTGCTTTCCAAATTTGAATTAGACAAGCAGCAAATGTGATGGCATCTCTGCGAAACACCTAAAGTGTGATTAACGAGCCGTTTCCTTCCCTTTCTTTCTCCTCAGGGATCTCCAAAGGAAGCCATCTCCGTCAGTAATATGGGTGTTTCCAAGCGAGGGCCGATCATCGAGGCTCGGGACCGGCTGCTGCTGGAGTTCACTGACGGCTCCGTGTGCGAGTCAGACGGCCAGAAGCTCTCCTACACGACACGCATCCACCTGGTCTGCTCCAGAGGAAGCTCGGTGAGGTTATACAGTGAAGTGGAGCCGTTTTTTGTATTGTTTTGTGCACGTGTCTGACTCTGTTTGTTTTCCACGCTGTGCAGTCAATGGGCCCGCGGTTCCTGATGTACCAGAACTGCACCGCCAACTTCATCTGGGACACAAGAGCAGCCTGCGCCATCAAAACCACTGAGAACAATGTGAGCTCAGCTTCATCACGACGTTATCTCATCCTGTGTTTCCCGCTTTAAACATCTCAATTCAATTCAAAGGTTTTATTGTCATATGCACAAAGCTACAGTGTAGAAATGACAATCAAATTCTTCTGACCTGAGCTCCTCCAACAATGTAACATATATATATATAATAAAATACAAAAACACAAAATACAAAGTAGTGCAAAAAGTCTAAATACATGTCACTGGAATATGATATGTACAAGAACAGAATATCTAATATCAGTATACTATACAGCTGTTTCAGAATCCACTGTATTGCCATGTAAACATGTGTTTGTGTTTCAGAGTTGTGCTGTGGTGGACCCAAACACTGGCTATGAGTTCAACCTTCAGCTTCTGGCCAATGAGAAGGGATACACGACAAGAGCAAATGGAAAGGACTTCCTGGTAAGACAAACACATTGATAACACTCTGCTAACAGTAAGGAAAGCCACTCCAATGCTCACATATATTTTGAACATTTTTGTCAATCATACTTGTTTCTATCAAATATAAGAAGAAGGCCTCCAAAAGTAAAACCTTTCCGTCTTATTCCATATTTTATTCTATTCCATTTCCATGTAAATACTGCTATATTTTACTATATTTTGGATTATGTTTAATACTTTTTATTAGGGATGCTCCGATCGATCGGCCGCCGATCATTATCGGCCGATATTCACTCTCTGCCGATCGATCGGTGCTCTCTATAAATGCCGATCGCGAGAGCCGATCGCATGACGTAAAATACATGACACTTTTCTCTGTGCGCGGCAAAACAAGCTCGCCAAGATGGCTTCACCAGTCTGGCAGTATTTTAAGTGTCCGAAAATGACAATAAAATAGCGGTATGCAACGTGTGTGAAGCAGAAATCCTGCAGCTCCACCCGCTGTGACGGACCGGTGAGCGGAGCAGAACACACACTAAGAGTTAGACCTAACACACTTAGCTATTTTATCTACCTCTGGAACAAGCTAAACTAGTTATAGATATATTTATTCTTCACTGTCGGGTCACTCATTACTGGATCAGTGAGCTGCATGAGATACTGACAGGCTGTAGAGAGGGAGAGAGGGAGAGAGGGAGAGAGGGAGAGAGGGAGGGAGAGAGAGGGAGAGAGGCTTCCGCTCATTTCTCCCGTGTTATTATCCAAAGTTAATGTAAACTTGAATAATGTACTTCATTTGAATGTAATAATTATGTTGGTTGTTGTTTGTGGAAGCGCCAGTGAATGAGCCCCATTAACTGAGTTTTAAACATCACTTTAAATGGAAGATCCCCATAGGCCCCGCCCACTCGATCGAATCGGCGATCGGTATCGGCCGATACTGATTCCGGCGATCGGCCCCAAAATGGGCGATCGGAGCATCCCTAATTATTATGTTATTCTATTTTCTTATAATAGCTTCTATCTGTGTTTTTAAATGTTTGTTTTACTTGTATGTATGCACCACGTCTGTGGAATCAGCTTCCAGAGAACAAACAGACCTCTGCATCACTCTCAGCTTTTAAGAAATGCCTCAAGACCCACCTTTATTTATTTTCTATTCTAACCTTTTATGCTCTTAACCTTTTTATATTACCATATTTTACTCAATATGCTCCTTAGATATCTTTTTATGTTATTTGTTTTATTATTTTCTCCCTATAGCATTGTGAAGCACCTTGAGATGACGTTGTTTTTAAAGTGTGCTATATAAATGAAATGTATTATTACCACTACCATGACACCAAGTCAAATTCCTCGTACGTGTCAACCTACCTGGTAATAAACCTGGTTCTGATTCTGGTTCTGATTCTTCCCTCCCTGCAGGTGAACATCTGCGCAGACGTGGCAGAGTGTGGAAAGGGCATCGCTGGCTGTGAGCTGGAGGACGGGCACGCTCTGAGCCTGGTGGGGGTGGAGAAGACTCTGCAGTACTCTACCGACGGCCTGCTGCAACTCACATACAAAGGAGTCCTGGACGAGCCCACAGGTATTCATCTAAAGAAACTGAGAGCGTCATTTGTTTACATATTGAGGTTACTCTAACTGATTATCTGATAGGCTGTGGTTCATTTCTATAAACTGTATTTCTGGCTTGGTAGCACGTCTTGCTAGGGAAATTATCTTAAAGGTCACCTATTATGCAAAATCCACTTCTTCATGTCTCTTCTACATCAACATGTGTCCCCTCTTCTTCATGTCTCTTCTACATCAACATGTGTCCCCTCTTCTTCATGTCTCTTCTACATCAACATGTGTCCCCTCTTCTTCATGTCTCTTCTACATCAACATGTGTCCCCTCTTCTTCATGTCTCCTCTACATCAACATGTGTCCCCTCTTCTTCATGTCTCTTCTACATCAACATGTGTCCCCTCTTCTTCATGTCTCTTCTACATCAACATGTGTCCCCTCTTCTTCATGTCTCTTCTACATCAACATGTGTCCCCTCTTTTTCATGTCTCTTCTTCATCAACATGTGTCCCCTCTTCTTCATGTCTCTTCTACATCAACATGTGTCCCCTCTTCTTCATGTCTCTTCTACATCAACATGTGTCCCCTCTTCTTCATGTCTCTTCTACATCAACATGTGTCTCCTCTGTGGAAAGAGACTCTGAAAGTTTCAGGAACAAAGATTCTCTCTCTTTTTGTCCTGATCCATTTCTATAAAAACCTGTCTGAAAATGAGCTGATCAGATTTTGGCCACTTTAGGATGTCATAACATCCCCCCCCCCCCCCCCCCCCCACCTTATCACCTGAATCTCCTCCTAGAGCACCATTGTGTTCTTTTGAACCAAATATCTCTCAGAGGGGCGTGGCCCTCTTCTTCATGTCTCTTCTACATCAACATGTGTCCCCTCTTCTTCATGTCTCTTCTACATCAACATGTGTCCCCTCTTCTTCATGTCTCTTCTACATCAACATGTGTCCCCTCTTCTTCATGTCTCTTCTACATCAACATGTGTCCCCTCTTCTTCATGTCTCTTCTACATCAGCATGTGTCCCCTCTTCCTCATGTCTCTTCTACATCAACATGTGTCCCCTCTTCTTCATGTCTCTTCTACATCAACATGTGTCCCCTCTTCTTCATGTCTCTTCTACATCAACATGTGTCCCCTCTTCTTCATGTCTCTTCTACATCAACATGTGTCCCCTCTTCTTCATGTCTCTTCTACATCAACATGTGTCCCCTCTTCTTCATGTCTCCTCTACATCAACATGTGTCCCCTCTTCTTCATGTCTCTTCTACATCAACATGTGTCCCCTCTTCTTCATGTCTCTTCTACATCAACATGTGTCCCCTCTTCTTCATGTCTCTTCTACATCAACATGTGTCCCCTCTTCTTCATGTCTCTTCTACATCAACATGTGTCCCCTCTTCTTCATGTCTCTTCTACATCAACATGTGTCCCCTCTTCTTCATGTCTCTTCTACATCAGCATGTGTCCCCTCTTCCTCATGTCTCTTCTACATCAACATGTGTCCCCTCTTCTTCATGTCTCTTCTACATCAACATGTGTCCCCTCTTCTTCATGTCTCTTCTACATCAACATGTGTCCCCTCTTCTTCATGTCTCTTCTACATCAACATGTGTCCCCTCTTCTTCATGTCTCTTCTACATCAACATGTGTCCCCTCTTCTTCATGTCTCCTCTACATCAACATGTGTCCCCTCTTCTTCATGTCTCTTCTACATCAACATGTGTCCCCTCTTCTTCATGTCTCTTCTACATCAACATGTGTCCCCTCTTCTTCATGTCTCTTCTACATCAACATGTGTCCCCTCTTCCTCATGTCTCTTCTACATCAACATGTGTCCCCTCTTCTTCATGTCTCTTCTTACATCAACATGTGTCCCCTCTTCTTCATGTCTCTTCTACATCAACATGTGTCCCCTCTTCTTCATGTCTCTTCTACATCAACATGTGTCCCCTCTTCTTCATGTCTCTTCTACATCAACATGTGTCCCCTCTTCTTCATGTCTCTTCTACATCAACATGTGTCCCCTCTTCTTCATGTCTCTTCTACATCAACATGTGTCCCCTCTTCTTCATGTCTCTTCTACATCAACATGTGTCCCCTCTTCTTCATGTCTCTTCTACATCAACATGTGTCCCCTCTTCCTCATGTCTCTTCTACATCAACATGTGTCCCCTCTTCTTCATGTCTCTTCTACATCAACATGTGTCCCCTCTTCTTCATGTGTCTTCTACATCAACATGTGTCCCCTCTTCTTCATGTCTCCTCTACATCAACATGTGTCCCCTCTTCTTCATGTCTCTTCTACATCAACATGTGTCCCCTCTTCTTCATGTCTCTTCTACATCAACATGTGTCCCCTCTTCTTCATGTCTCTTCTACATCAACATGTGTCCCCTCTTCTTCATGTCTCTTCTACATCAACATGTGTCCCCTCTTCTTCATGTCTCTTCTACATCAACATGTGTCCCCTCTTCTTCATGTCTCTTCTACATCAACATGTGTCCCCTCTTCCTCATGTCTCTTCTACATCAACATGTGTCCCCTCTTCTTCATGTCTCTTCTACATCAACATGTGTCCCCTCTTCTTCATGTGTCTTCTACATCAACATGTGTCCCCTCTTCTTCATGTCTCCTCTACATCAACATGTGTCCCCTCTTCTTCATGTCTCTTCTACATCAACATGTGTCCCCTCTTCTTCATGTCTCTTCTACATCAACATGTGTCCCCTCTTCTTCATGTCTCTTCTACATCAACATGTGTCCCCTCTTCTTCATGTCTCTTCTACATCAACATGTGTCCCCTCTTCCTCATGTCTCTTCTACATCAACATGTGTCCCCTCTTCTTCATGTCTCTTCTACATCAACATGTGTCCCCTCTTCTTCATGTGTCTTCTACATCAACATGTGTCCCCTCTTCTTCATGTCTCCTCTACATCAACATGTGTCCCCTCTTCTTCATGTCTCTTCTACATCAACATGTGTCCCCTCTTCTTCATGTCTCTTCTACATCAACATGTGTCCCCTCTTCTTCATGTCTCTTCTACATCAACATGTGTCCCCTCTTTTTCATGTCTCTTCTTCATCAACATGTGTCCCCTCTTCTTCATGTCTCTTCTACATCAACATGTGTCCCCTCTTCTTCATGTCTCTTCTACATCAACATGTGTCCCCTCTGTGTAAAGAGACTCTGAAAGTTTCAGGAACAAAGATTCTCTCTCTTTTTGTCCTGATCCATTTCTATAAAAACCTGTCTGAAAATGAGCTGATCAGATTTTGGCCACTTTAGGATGTCAGCAGAATCAGCACTTTTGTATGTATCTGAGACCTGTAATATATTGTTGAAAAAGAGCATAATAGGGGACCTTTAAACATTGAATCCGAGTCAGAACCAGGTCAATTAAGACATCCAATGAATCTGTTACAGTGCACATGTCATAACAAACACAGAAGATGTAAACACTGTCTTTACTTTGCAATTTATTCCATCTTTTATTTAAACCTTCCTTCTCTGTAACAGCTTCCCGGGACACCTTCACCATTAACTTTGTGTGTGATGAAAACGCTCACCCCGGCTCATTAAAGCTGATGCACGAGGAGCTCGGCACTGTCGTCCACAACGTCGTCTTTGAGTTCTCCACCGCTCTGGCCTGCGTCCCTGCTCCTGTCGACTGCCAGATCATTGGTATGGACACACACTCACTCACTCACTCACTCACTCACTCACTCACTCACTCACTCACCTTCACTCACTCCACACACTCACTCACTCACTCACTCACTCACTCACTCACTCACTCCACACACACCTTCACTCACTCTCTCACTCACACCTTCACACACTCACTCACTCACTCACTCACTCCACACACTCACTCACTCACTCACTCACTACACTCACACCCTTCACTCACTCACACCTTCACACACTCACACCTTCACTCACTCACTCACTCACACCTTCACTCACTCACTCACTCACTCACACCTTCACTCACTCACTCACTCACTCACACCTTCACTCACTCACTCACTCACTCACTCACTCACTCACCTTCACTCATTCACACACTCACACCTTCACACACTGACACCTTCACTCACTCACACCTTCCCTCACTCACTCACTCACTCACACACTCACTCACACACCCTTCACTCACTCACTCACTCACACACCTTCACTCACTCACTCACACACCTTCACTCACTCACTCACTCACACCCTTCACTCACTCACTCACTCACCTTCACTCACTCACACTCACACACCTCACTCACTCACACACCTCACTCACTCACTCACACACCTTCACTCACTCACACACACACCTTCACTCACTCACACACTCACCTTCACTCACTCACACACTCACCTTCACTCACTCACACACTCACCTTCACTCACTCACACACTCACCTTCACTCACTCACACACTCACTCACTCACTCACTCACTCACACACCTTCACTCACTCACACACTCACCTTCACTCACTCACACACTCACACACCTTCACACACCTTCACACACACCTACACACACCTACACACACCTTCACACACACCTACACACACACTCACACTCACACTCACACTCACACTCACACTCACACTCACACTCACACTCACACACTCTCACACTGCACACAAAGTACTGGCCTTACCTTTATACACCTCTCCTCTTTATCGTGTGTGTTGATTTAATTTTCTGTCGATCTAGATTCCCACGGTAATGAGTACGACCTCAGTCATCTGATGCGTGACGGAGAGGACAGCCCCTGGATCGCCATAGATACAGATGTGGCCAAATCACGACGCTTTTACATCAACGTCTGCAAACCCCTTCCTCCTGTGAGCGGGTGTCCAGGTCAGTTTGCTCGTCCACACCCAACACATACTGTCAATCAAAGAGGGTTTCCTTCTCCGATTCTATTCCAAATACAAGGCTCCTAACATATGCAATGGTAGTTGGAACAATGTGGTCACTTGCAGTAAAACAGACAGTCAGATCGCATGTAAATCGTCCAAGTATTCAATCTTCCGGTCACATTTTAGTTGAATACTTGTTGTTCTTCTCGTCAGTGGGTCCTCTGGGTTCTTGTGCCACGATCGGTGACAAGAGTTACAACCTGGGCTACGTGCTGTCGAGCCCTCAGGCGGCGGAGGACGGCTCCATCAGCATCGTGTACCAGAACGGCGACCGCTGCGACAACAACTCCCGCTACTCCACACGCATCCTCTTCCAGTGTGACGACAGCCCCGTGAGTACCACCCTCACAATACACCAACAGACTGAGGAACAGCTTCTATCCTGTCCAACCTCTGAGCACACAACTGTGAACATTCATAAACACACCCGCCCCTCAAAGACTGCAACCACTGCTATTTAGAAATATGTATGGCTATTTTACTTGCATCCTTTGGTTACTACGTATAACCCTTTATGAACACACAGTTAGAAATACACAATACAATTTATACAGTTTTGTACATTTAACGTTTTTAGACTGTAAGTGTGAATATACACATTGACAATTAATTGTATCTCGTTGCACTGTCATCGCTACTACCTCTGCTTTTACCACTCTTATTTATTTATTTGTGTCTATTTTTTACTGCAGTGAGAGTTGCCAAAGACATTTTGTTGTACTATGATGACAATAAAAATATATTCTATTATATTTATTCAATAGGCGCTTTCACACCAAGTACTTTGCCGTACTTAGTTCATCAGAACTTAGTTCATCAGAACTTAGTTCATCAGAACTCTTTAGTTCTGATGAACTAAAGAGCAGATCACCGGAATAAGTCCCTGAGGGAGGATTAGGCAAATGAAGCCGCTGACGTCACTTCTTCTTCTGCTTTGGGTTTACTGGCAGGCCGCAAACCACTTCACGGCGTATACTGCCGCCCGAAGTCCCCGGAGTTGGGCCAATCAGAAATGGGAACCTTTTTCTCCCACGAAAGTAGCTGCTCTCTAGCAGGGACTGAAAAGGGGGGGAAAAGGTTCTCATGAACTAAGTTCTAGTTCCGGATTCTTTTTGTGTGAATGCACATTTTCGGAACTATATCGGAACTATACTGGGAAAAGTACTCCGGTGTGAAAGCGCCTAATATTAAGCTGACCCTTTTTTTTTTTTTTTTTTAAACTGTTCCACTACAAATGTTACCAAGAGTGATTTATTTTAGTTTTGGTACCTTCTAGTAGTTTCCATAAAGTAATTATCTCTGACCATTAAAACATTTATGCCAGTGATTTAAGTGACATTTAGCTTTTAAAACAGCCTACGCTCATTTGGGTTAAATCATCAATGCTAAGCTTAATTTGCAGTTGTTTCTGAACTACTATGCCTCTTTAGTTTACTGATGTTGTATGCCATGATAACGAGACAGAGGACATTAAACTAACCAGTAGATTTTAATGAGTATTTATGTGTTCATCTATTTCTAGGGCTCCCCCATGTTCGACCGTTTAGATGGTTGTGAATATGTCTTCATCTGGAGGACATCTGAGGCCTGCCCCCTCCGGAAGTCTAAAGGTAAATACCTGTGTTTGTGTCTCAAGATCTGATAAAACAGCTGCAGTGATATCATCCATAATATCAGAAGCCGTAATGAAGATTTTAATTTGATTCAACCCCTTTAAATTCTTCTGTCTTACATAAAACATTTAGTGTTTAAAATACAAATTGGAATTGAACCTGTGTGATTGTTAACATTAGGGCATGTTAACAAGGTTGGAGCGGATCTTGAATATACAGTATTGACGGCTTAGAATTGATTCAACTATAGAGAGGCGAAGTCCCTCCCTTTCCGGGGGACCTCCATGGGACCTTATTTCGGAAAAAGTATGTATTGAAGTCAATGGGGAGAGAAAGATTATCTTTTGATCCCGTTTGAATTGTGCCCCGAATTACACACATGATGTTTGCCAATTTAAAAGATAATTTCCATGTCAAAAAAATAATGTTTTGCCGTAAAACTGTGAAGTAACACTTTTCTTTGTGTGAAACCGCTCAATGAACTACATCTCCCGTCTCGCACCACACACCCAGACGGCCGTCACGTTGGCACATTTCACTTCTTTCTTTCAGAATGAGGCGGAAAGTATAAAAAGAGGTGAAAATCACTCCAAGTCTGGGCATGTTGAGAGCTGTACATACACACAAGGGGAGTTAGTCGGTTCATAAGAGCCAGCATGCGGGACCGGGATTCTGGGATTTGTAGTCTTTCTAGTTGCGTATTTTTCATAGTCTTATATTTCAACAGTTTTACGACAAACTGTGACTTTTTTGACATGGAAATTATTATTTAAGATTGACAAACATCACATGTGTAATTCGTGGCACAATTCAAACGGGATCGAGAGATAATCTTTCTCTCCCCATTGACTTCAATACAAACTTTTTCCGAAATAAGGTCCCATGGGTCGGAAGTAGATGGGCGGGACTTCGCCTCTATGATGAAAAACACAAGAATGTATGCCTCTTTGCTCATCGTCTAAACTTGTCCTGCCAGGTGATAACTGCCGTGTTCGTGACCCGAAAAGCGGCTACGAGTTTGATCTGAGTTCTCTGAAGGATCGTGATTTCCCGATCCACAGTGACAAGTACATCTACCACCTGTCTGTCTGTGGGGGGCTGCAGAGAGACATCTGCACGCACAAAGACACCGGCCTAGAGTCTGTCTCCTCCTGCCAGGTGGAAGGGGGGGGCAAAGCCAAGATCGCAGGTACGTACAAATCAACCAAAGCATGCTTCAATATTAATTATAGCGTAGTATTGTCTTTTATTAATATTGTTATGTGTGTTTGCAGGAATGGCAAACCAGATTCTGAGTTACGTGGGAGACCAGATCATCCTGAACTACACCAATGGAGAGTCCTGTCATAAGATTTACACCAGATCCACTGAGATCTACTTCTCCTGCCACCCCGACATGCATCCTGTGAGTTTCACACACACACGGATAGAAATCAAGCTCGTCACACATGTGTTTTTAAATTCAAAATGACCATAACCTTTATTCTGGTAAGGTTGGTTGCTGACCTTGACAAAAAATGTGTTCATGGAGCAATATTTTGTTCTGTTGGAGATGATTATTAGTGATAACTCATCAGACAAAACATGTTAACAAAATAGCTTCAGGTGAAGTTGGAAGTCTTTATTTATTTTATTAACAAATATTTACTAGATGAGTCTGGGTTTGAATACTCTACATTAAAGATTTTAACAGGTTACATAAATTAATTTCTTCCAGGAAAAATGTAAATACAAAAAAAACAAGTTAATGATAACTTAACAAACATAAAAACAAATACATTACATTAAAGAAACACAGAAAGACATAGAACAACAAACAGTTAAGAAAAATCAGGTGTGTGTGTGTGTGTGTGTGTGTGTGTGTGTGTGTGTGTGTGTGTGTGTGTGTGTGTGTGTGTGTGTGTGTGTGTGTGTGTGTGTGTGTGTGTGTGTGTGTGTGTGTGTGTGTGTGTGTGTGTGTGTGTGTGTGTGTGTGTGTGTGTGTGTGTGTGTGTGTGTGTGTGTGTGTGTGTGTGTGTGTGTGTGTGTGTGTGTGTGTGTGTGCTATGTGTTTGACAGACCAACAAAATGTCTCACCCTGTTCATGTCTTTATAGAACGTCCTCCCAGCTCTGTAGCGATGTTCACTAATTGTGTGTTTTGTGTCTATTAACTTGTTAAGGGAGCTCCAGAGTTCCTCAAGGAGACTCCAGACTGCACCTACCTGTTCAGCTGGCCCACAGCGCTGGCCTGCGTCCCCGTCAAAACCACCAGCTGCTCCTACAAGTAACACTCCTTCATCAACTCCTTATGTCATCTCCTAATGCTGATTCTTCTTTGTTATTCTTGTTTTGTCGTCACTTTTCATTTCTTTAGCTGTACTTCAGCTTTTTGTACCTACTGTTCGTGTATATATATATATATACACACACACTCACTCACTCACTCACTCACTTCACTCACTCACTCACTCACTCACTCACTCATATAAATATATATTTATGTTAGATAATATGTCTGAGCTAGTGAGGTAGCAGACAATAAAAAGACAGTAGATGCTAAAATGTGCAATAAGTAAAAGTAAAAAATACAAAAAATATCTTTTCACAACAATAAGTGATGACAATAAGTAAATGTTTAGTTACATTATGAATGGAACATGTTCTCATTTCATTCATCAGTATTTTTGAATGTTTTTATCTGCGCCACAGTAACCGCATGATTAAACATTTCAGTCACCATATCACAATTAGCAGCTGTCCAGACTTTTAACACATGGCTCTTAACACCTTTCGTGTGTCTGCTCTGTCCTCAGTGATGGTCAGGGTCACTCGTACGACCTCTCCCCTCTGGCTATGGACTCCGGAAACTGGGAGGTGGAGCCGTCTACGGAGAACCCAGATCGATTTTACATCAACGTCTGCAGGTCGCTGGTGCAGCAGGGAGGTCAGTTCTGTGTTCTGGAAAACATCAAGTAATCCCATAGGGCCTGAATTCTCTCTGGTTACGATGCGATGCGATAACACTTGAATGGCCTGATCAAGTCTGAAATGTGACTTGCATCCCAGCATGTGTAACATCAACAGACAAATATCAAGATTTATTACATGGTTTAGTTGAATACTCGATTCTGATTGGTCAATTCAGAACACGTGACACGTTGTTAATCCAGAACAGACAGACCGCTGTCAAGGACTTATTGACCATTGTTAAGGACGCTCACATCTGCACAAAGAAGTCCGGTCGATTGAACTGTGTATACAGTTTTGGCCGAAAAGCAAACTGCATGCAGTTTGCTTTTCTAACTGACAAGACAAGAGCGACAAGGAAAAGCGGAGAGGTAACGGGGCAGAAACCCTCCTTTTTACGCAGCGGTCCAGACATAGACATCAAACGGCGACACATATTCAGTTGCCAGTTCCTTTGGCATTAGGGCAGGGATATCTAGATACTTTCCAAGGTTTGACATAATGAATTGTGCTACTTTTAAAGCAAGCAACGATGTTTTCAAATCTGTAATCAAAAAGCTCCGCCTTCCTGCCGTTGCTACGTTTTTCAAACGGTAACAATGGACTATTTTCCTTAGCGGATGCATGTCAATTTAAATCAATACATACAACTATTTTTTAAATCAATAAAATCATTTTCTAAATCCATAAAAGCATTTCAATTAATAGTGGGAGTCATATCATTACTTTGTTGAGAATGTGGCCATGTAATAAGCGGGATAATGTGCAGCGACGCGGTCATTATGGGGAAAAGAACACCGACAGGCAGATCTAGATCCCTCCGCTTCGCGTCGGGCTCCTGATCAGCCTGTCGGTGTTCTTTTACCCATAATGACCGCGTCGCTGCACATTATCCCTTACACAATACATGAACAACAAACATTTAACATAACAGCACGATCAGTGAGAGAAAACATGCTCAAAGACCTAGATCCTAATCCCACATTCAGTGATTTCACAGTTCTTTTGTTCGTGTCGGATCACCCACTGTCCTCCTCTCTGTCCCGTTGACAGGTTCCTGGAAGTGTCCCTCGGGTGCAGCGTCCTGTGTGAAGTCAGGAGAGCAGTATGTGAGTTTGGGGCAGGTGGAGTCCAGCCCCACGTGGGACAGAGGAGTCCTGAAGCTGCAGTACAGCAGCGGAGAGGCCTGTGTGGGGGGAAACCGCACCAAGAGCAGCATCATCCGCTTCAAGTGTGACAAAGACAAAGTGGTGAGGTTTCTTTTTAGCCTACATTTCAATAAACATAAATCTACGTGCCTTGAGGATGCCATTCTTTATATCAAAGTCAAAGTCAACTTTATTGTCAATCTTTTGGTTTGTGTGTACAGACAGAGAGAACCAAATACCGTTTCCCACAATCCCAAATACAAATATATATATATACAAATATGTATATCCTATATATACACATATGTATATCCTATATATACACAATCAACAGACAACATTTATACATATGCACACATTTAAGACATAAATACAAGCACAACAATCAATATATACAAAATAACAGTCACTTCAATATCTTTGGGAAATGTACATTAGTGCAAGATTGTCCATAGCAGCTTAAAAAGTGTCTGGTGCTGGATTTGAGTGTCTGAGTGTGTGTGGTGTTACAGTTCAGGGGGGAGAGAGAGTAAGTATCAACTGCTTCTAAGCTATAAACACAGATAATATTTGACTGGAATTTGTCCGCGACGTTAGAATTGTCCCGGTCACAGAACCAAATACACAGAAATAGAAAACCACATGTGTTTTATTCATGTGTCTGATTGGTCTAATCTTAGGGGTTCTCAGAAACTGTGGAAACACACACAGGAACTTGCAAAAGGGGCTCTTAGTTCCTGTTTTAGTTCAATTTTTTTTCTTTAGTTCCTCCGGTTGAGTCTACAATAAAACAGCAGGGCAGTACAGGTGTTCATTTAAATACGAATATTAACGGAAAGCATGCGTGGGTTTCATTCTCCCCTCCAGGACTCTCGGCCTACTCTGATCTCAGCCATTGAGGATTGTGTGTACACCTTCCTCTGGTTAACAGCCGCCGCCTGCCCTCTGAACAGCGTCCAGCACGACAACTGCAGAGTCTCCAACCCTGCCACAGGTCAGACTTTTAAAATAAATCGGTAGTTCTGTACAGATCTTATGTAATTCTGCTCTTTTCATTTTTGTACTTTCTGTTGACAATAAAAACTGTGTCAGCAGTGGAAAGTAGTGAGGTACATTTACTCAAGTACTGTACTTGGTTACAATTTGTCAGTTACTTTTTCTTATCCTAAGTATTTATTTTCATTTTGTGCTTATTTAAATGTATACTCCACTACATTTTGGAAACCAATAATATACTTTTTACTCCATTTTACAGTTATTTGCCAGCTTTAGTTACTTCACGATTATAAGCTATTACCGAATATAAACATACTCTGAAATGGACCATTACAAGTATTTTTGTTACTGGTGTATTTTGATTAAAATACATTTGTACTTTTACTCAAGTTAGATTTTCTAAATGCAGGACTTTTAAGAGCATCTTAAAATGCAATATTGCTACTTTTGCTCAAGTAATAAGTCGGAGTTCTACTTCCACCACTGCATAAGGTTAAATTGTAAAAATAAAAGGTATGACAGACTTGCGTAAAAACCCACTTCCTGAGAAAAACCTTTCCCCAGTTTTTTCATGTATTGAACTCTCTCCTGTGCCCCTCCTCCCCCACAGGTCATCTGTTTGATCTCAGCGCCCTGACACAGGAGGGGGGTTACACCGTGTACGACCCTAAGTCCCACAGGAAGATGTTCCGCATGAACATCTGTGCAGACGTGAGCAACGCCGGCTGCGACCCTGACACCGGTACGTACATCCATCCAGTCATCTCTCAGCCTTATCAGCCATTCATCATTAGAATAAACACTTCTTATTGTTCAATATGTTCTCAAACAGTAAGGTAGCTGAAATAATGCTTCTATGAGATTGTAAAGCCCACTGAGGCAAATAAGCCATTTCTGATATTGAGCTAAATAAATAAGATTTGATTAATTGACTGATAGATATTCATTTCAATCCAATTTAGTCACAGTTTAAAATACAAGGACAATGAGTAGACATAATGAAGATATGAGTCAAAGAACACCTCCAAATAAAATCTAACGCTTGGGAATAAGGGCCCAGACACTAAGAATGTACAATATATCTTACTTACACATCTAGCAAAAGAGAGAGCTCGTGTATCACAAGCTGTAAACATCTTGCACTAACCGAATATCCTCAAAATAAACGATTCCAACCTCACTACTGATATTACTGTCATTTAAAGGCATGCATTATACAATAAGCAGGTCATATTTGATCTGCTGCAATATTTGACTCGCATAATTCTCGATAAAACAGCCTGTAATTGAGGAAAACCCCTCTTTAAATCAATCATATTTGAATGAATAGAAACAGAACCGTGCAGAAAACGTGGCTTTGTTGTTTTCTTGGTGTATATATTTTGAGAAAGGCGTCTTACTGGGGCACGACAGCCTAGTAAAGCCAGCAGTCATTACAGGGTCTAAAGTCACTTGCTTACGGCATAAAGCATTTCACTGTGTGCACATTTAAAAGCACTCTGCAGGCGATCAGATCAGCCGTTAACCAGTCAGAGCAGACATGGTGTAACTTTTGTTGAAGGGATGGTGCAACCCCATCTCTCCAATGTGGTTTCAGACACTCTTACCTTATGGTGAAAACACTGGGTTTTTTCCGATGGGGACGCAGATATTTTAATAGATATATAATTCTCCCTGCAACCAAGTTGACCCTTTTTTGAAGAAGATATTTGCATTGGTGAATGTGTTAACAGGGTGTCCGCGGGGTCTTAAAAAGTATTAAGAGTTGATGAATCAATTTAGCGAAAACATTTAGGCTATTAAAAAGTATTAAACTGCATTTTTCAAGGTATTACATTTTGTAGCTTGTTTTCAATAAGTATATGAATTGTCCAAAGAGGTTGTATTCTACAGTCTGCCTGAATGTAATCATTGCGTAGGTGTGTAGTGTGATTCTGTGTAGTTTATTTATGGCATCCCGTTGGATGTGACGTCATCTGAACAGGACATAGCACGCTCACTGCTTGATAGCGCGCGAAGCTCCGTTTACGCCGGTTGTTGAACAACATCGTTATGGGGAAATGCAAGTCTGCGTCCAAATGGTTGGAAGATAAGGAGGAAGGACAATCAATACTGTATATAGTCAATGTGAGGTAAAGTGTGTCGCCAAGGTAACCGGTTAAAACTTAAAGTGGCGATGAGGTCTTCAAATGTATGGAAAGGGTCTTAAAAAAGGTCTTCAAAGGTTTTACATTAGACTTCAGGATTCCTGCATATACCCTGAAATATATAATTCTCCCTGAAACCAAGTTGACAGTTTTTTGAAGAATATATTTGCATTGGTGAATGTGTTAAATAGTTTGTTCTACTTGTACAGCACTCATTAAAAAAGCATTTACAGAAAAGTGGATACAGTAAAAGAATCATACAGTATGTCTTCAGCTCCTCAATCATGGTGTAAGACGTCTCTCCTCCAAAAGCTTTGCAGATTCCAATAAACCCAGGTTAATCTAGGGAAAATAAGAAGTGGAATCCATTCAGAACTCATTCACTTCTCCTCTGGTTACTGTTCAGTTTTCTTTGCACATTTTTGTGGTTCATGAAACATCAGGGTCACAGGTTCACTACTGTTTAACGTCATAGAAGACCTGACATTTCAGCAGCTCTAAAATGATTTACTTCGGTAGATTTCTCTCCCAAGACTGCACAATAAGTCTTATTAGAAATGATGATATTGTTGAACCCTGCGTCAAAATAAACAGGGAATAGCGAATATGGGATGCTTAAGTGCAAGATTTGTATTAAAGTGTGTGCAGGTGTGCATGACAAAATGGCACAAATGCATTTACAATTTATTTTACAGAGGTGCCTAATATTTGGTATAATAAGTATTAAGTAATTAATATGAAATAAATCACTTGCTCATTGAGTGCTGCAGTGACGCGTCCTAAAACCCGGGAGTAAACTCCTTCTGGTTCTTTCGACAAAAACGCAATGCAATCTCTCCATAGGATTTTGGAAAATAGCTGGAAATAAGGCCTGTGGTTGAGACACATTTAAGAGACGGATCACGTTTTGTTCAGCCGGATAATCTCCACATGTCTACCCTACTTTTATCATTTTATAATCGTAAATCTAGTCGCCAGAAGCAAAATGCTAACGTTATGCTATAAACAAACTACAGCAGGGTCGCTGCTTCAACGTCACGCCAACTTAAGATCCATATTCAAAACTACAGATTCTAAATGGTACAAGTTGAAGCGCTTGTTCTAACAGTTTGCAGGAGGCAGGTACTTGCTTTCAAGCAGAACACGGGGGAAAACGAACTTAGCGGAGTGTTTACGTGTTCGGCGTAATGACGTACAACGGCCTCGACAACTTCTGTCGTCCTATTCAGCCACTTGGTAACAACCATCGTTTTTCAGACACGTCAACTCTTCAGAAATCACCAGTGGGGTCACTGCTGATGTGTTTAATGTCGTAGAACAAAACGTGATCCGTCTCTTCAATGTGTCTCAACCACAGACCATAGTTCCAGCTATTTTCCTAAACCCTATGGAGAAATCGCATTGCGTTTTGGCGAAGGAACCGGAAGTGGTAAAATGCTAACTTACTTCCGGGTTTTAGGACGCGTCACTGTGGCACTCCATTGGCTCATTCCCTAATTTTGCCCAAATAATTAAAAAAAACAAAAAACAGGCCAAACACACTCTCTTATTTGTATGTAACTGTCTTTTTAGGATACAGAAAGAAGTGTCCATGCTGTAATGTTAAAATGCTGTAATCTACCTGAAATTCCTCTATTGTATGTCCAGTTTAAATACATCTGTACTGCAGCAAGATACTCTGAGTTTACTAAATGATCTATGTGCACATTTCCTCCCAGCTGTGTGCATAAAGGAAGGAAACACTGTGGTGAGGGGGGGTCAGGTGAGCAGGAAACTCTCGTACAAGGATCACGTCGTGGAGCTGGCGTACGACGGAGGAAGTCCCTGCGCCGCGAACCCCGACCTCAAACACAACACCATCATAAACTTCATCTGCAGGTACCTTCAAGCTTTCCCCTTATTTTATTTGCTATTTATCTTTTCATTTTATTTTCTCCTTCAACTGCCTGTGTGTATGAAAAGCTCTGCACAATATAAGAAGTACACTCGCAGAGCATAGACTTTCACCAAGGCCGTGTCCATAAGTGAACAAAATAATGTGTAAATACGCCCCCGTGATTCTGATCCGCTCCACAAATCAGTTATCTTGCTGACAATAATAACAAAAGCAGTCGGAGAATACAACCTCATTGACGGAGGAGTATCTCTGAGACGATGGTACTTTGTGTGTTAACCAAGTCATTATTTTAACATTCACTGTGCCAGTGTTCTCCCTTGGCTGATGTTAAATTGGCCGATGTTAAATTGGCCTTTAAAAACAACTGCCAAAACACATGTACATTTAGAACAGGACAGAATAACTGAAAAATATTTTTTTAAATGCCCTTAATCTTGTAATTCAGTCACAGCTTTTGTTGCCATTTAGTTAAAGGGGACCTATCATGCAAAATGCACTTTTTTATGTCTGTTATACATAAATATGTGTCCCCCGTGTGTCGGGGAACTCACGCAGCGTCAGAAAATAAAACCCTCTCTCTTTTCATCTGTACCCAAATCTTTTAAAAACGGGGCTACAACGAGCGGATACAGATTTGCTGCAGATATGACGTAATTTCGGATGGTGGACCCACAGAGAGTTGCTATCAGAAACAATGCCTGACGTGTTTTGGACGTAATCTCGTCTTTGTTTACATTAGCAAGCCTCGCTAACACTCAGAGCTAACCTGTACTGGAGAGCACATGTGTTTAAAAAGCAGGAAATAAAAAAAGGAACTCACCTTGTGATAAACCTGCAAGAGAAAAAGCATTTGAGCTCCAGACTGTTTCAGAAATAATCCTTGATGTGGTTTAGAACAGGATGGCGTTTTATCACAGCAGAGTTTTTATTTTTTAATTTATTTGACAGGGACAGTGCACATTGATTGACATTTCTGTAAATGCCAACAGGCTATTTTTCATTTAACTTTATCTCCGGTAGAATTCTGATCAGGCATTAGCTCCGCCTCCTCCTAGCTCTTGTATCCTCTCTTGCACTTTATATGTCGTAGCTGCTATATTGTATTACCATGTGGTAAATACTTGTGTATGCTGCTCTTGCTCTTTTGCACCTTTTGCATATCATGCATTTTGTTTTTGCTATGTTTGTAAAATGTAATCTTCTTAAATGTTTTATGTGATGGAAAATAGCTCAAAGCAAAATCTGGCACTGTTACGCTTGACACATTTGACTGTTTTAAGTGTTCATTACTGTGCATTGTCCCTGCCAAATAAACGATTAAATAAATAAAATAAAATAACCTGAAATAAAGTGGGAACAGTCAGCCATAAATCTTTCATTAACACTTTAATTCAAACATTTTCTTTTCCAGGGTAAAGAAATACTTGGACGCTTTAAAATGAACGATGATCTTTTTGTAAAACACCAGGAATGTTTTTGCCATGTCAAAACTGAAATATCTCGATATTTTCTGAATATTTTTTCCATTTTGTTTTTACAGACCACCCAACATGGTCTCGTCCCCTCCGGAGCCGGTTCTCATTCACACCAACGACGAGACTTGCACACACTTCTTCTCTTTCCACACACCCCTGGTCTGCGAACAGCCAGTAAGTTTGCTTTGTGTATTTGTCTGTGCAAAGAATCAGAAATATTTTATTTGTCTCAAGGTGGGGGAACATTTAGAGTGATACAGCAAAAGACACCACACCACGATAAAACAAAAAAAGTACACTTAACAGATTAAATAGAAAGGCAAGCACACATTTTAAGAGGGCCACTCCCCCCTGCCTGAAACGCCTCAATTGGCCTCCTTTGTTTACTTCCATGTCATCTTAACATCACTTTGTAACACTCGCACTTCTATTGGCTAGCGCTTCAACACATTGTACGTGATAGGGTTAGTGGTGGTCTAATGGATAGTGAGGTGGGCTGAAGATCGGAAGGTTGTGAGTTCAAATCCCGCCAGGAACACCACCACTAGTGTGCCCTTGAGTAAGGCACTTAGCCCTTAGTTACTCCAGGGAGAATGTCCCTGTAAGTCGCTTTGGATAAAAGCGTCAGCTAAATGAAATGTAATGTAATGTAATGATAGGCCAAGGAGCGGGACATCTCTGAGTGTTAGACCAATCACAACAGAACCAGCCAGCTAACCAATCAGAGCAGACTGGGCTCTGGTTTCAGACAGAGGGTGAAAAGAGGTGCTGCAGCACAGGCAGTATGAGAAAAATAAAGAGCTTTTTGAACATTAAAGCATGGAGACATGTCCCAGGAGAGACACTACATACTGATATACACCTGAACATCAGCAGGAGAGGACTCTTTAAAGTAGAGACACTACATACTGATATACACCTGAACATCAGCAGGAGAGGACTCTTTAAAGTAGAGACACTACATACTGATATACAGTACACCCTGAACATCAGCAGGAGAGGACTCTTTCAAGTAGAGGGACTACATACTGATATACACCTGAACATCAGCAGGAGAGGACTCTTTAAAGTAGAGACACTACATACTGATATACACCTGAACATCAGCAGGAGAGGACTCTTTAAAGTAGAGACACTACATACTGATATACACCTGAACATCAGCAGGAGAGGACTCTTTAAAGTAGAGACACTACATACTGATATACACCTGGACATCAGCAGGAGAGGACTCTTTAAAGTAGAGACACTACATACTGATATACACCTGAACATCAGCAGGAGAGGACTCTTTAAAGTAGAGACACTACATACTGATATACACCTGAACATCAGCAGGAGAGGACTCTTTAAAGTAGAGACACTACATACTGATATACACCTGAACATCAGCAGGAGAGGACTCTTTAAAGTAGAGACACTACATACTGATATACACCTGGACATCAGCAGGAGAGGACTCTTTAAAGTAGAGACACTACATACTGATATACACCTGAACATCAGCAGGAGAGGACTCTTTAAAGTAGAGACACTACATACTGATATACACCTGAACATCAGCAGGAGAGGACTCTTTAAAGTAGAGACACTACATACTGATATACACCTGAACATCAGCAGGAGAGGACTCTTTAAAGTAGAGACACTACATACTGATATACACCTGAACATCAGCAGGAGAGGACTCTTTAAAGTAGAGACACTACATACTGATATACACCTGAACATCAGCAGGAGAGGACTCTTTAAAGTAGAGACACTACATACTGATATACACCTGAACATCAGCAGGAGAGGACTCTTTAAAGTAGAGACACTACATACTGATATACACCTGAACATCAGCAGGAGAGGACTCTTTAAAGTAGAGACACTACATGCTGATATACACCTGAACATCAGCAGGAGAGGACTCTTTAAAGTAGAGACACTACATGCTGATATACACCTGAACATCAGCAGGAGAGGACTCTTTAAAGTAGAGACACTACATACTGATATACACCTGAACATCAGCAGGAGAGGACTCTTTAAAGTAGAGACACTACATACTGATATACACCTGAACATCAGCAGGAGAGGACTCTTTAAAGTAGAGACACTACATACTGATATACACCTGAACATCAGCAGGAGAGGACTCTTTAAAGTAGAGACACTACATACTGATATACACCTGAACATCAGCAGGAGAGGACTCTTTAAAGTAGAGACACTACATGCTGATATACACCTGAACATCAGCAGGAGAGGACTCTTTAAAGTAGAGACACTACATGCTGATATACACCTGAACATCAGCAGGAGAGGACTCTTTAAAGTAGAGACACTACATACTGATATACACCTGAACATCAGCAGGAGAGGACTCTTTAAAGTAGAGACACTACATACTGATATACACCTGAACATCAGCAGGAGAGGACTCTTTAAAGTAGAGACACTACATACTGATATACACCTGAACATCAGCAGGAGAGGACTCTTTAAAGTAGAGACACTACATACTGATATACACCTGAACATCAGCAGGAGAGGACTCTTTAAAGTAGAGAAACTAAATCGTTTTTTTCATAAGTAATCCAATTCTGGTAATCATTTATATTCAACATAGAAAGTCCTTTCATCGGTAAATAAAATAAAATGTATGTGAAGTCATGACATCAAACCCAACAGAATGATAATTACAAGATACTGTAAAGAAGTTCATCCTTTTATATTTATTAAATTGGATAATTCACCGGGCAAATTGAATTTCTGTTGAGTGTACAGTGTGTGCAGGTGGACTATAATCAGCTTCTCAAGGATAATCAAAGGAATGCAGCGTTCAATTATGTGGCGCTGTCGAAGGCGTGGGATTGTTCAAGAAGAGAAAAATAGTCAAAGAAAACTTCCTGCTGCCATTGTGTGGAATACAAATTGTTACAAACTGTTTAAGTCTGGCTGTGTGAGGCAAACAAGCTTTTACTGTTCTCTTCAAGAATGTAGCACTGACAAATATTTTCATCTTCCAGGTAAAGTGTTCAGTCCAGAACGGCTCCGCTCTTATCGACCTGACTCCTCTAATTCATGTCAGCGGATACTACACAGCAACAGGTCGGTGGGCCAAGGTTTTCATCACTGTGAGAAAACAACAACTATGTGAAGATATATATAATGGAGAAAATGGCTCCCTGTGCAGAGAAATAAGTCACACTCCGTTTGTCTGTTCAGTTCAGCAACTTTCTCTCGCCTTTTTGTTCATGTAAATGCATGCGAGTCGCTCTCCTCTGAGACTGTTGACCTTCGCTGCTTCTATACAGAGACGTGGAGAGCGACCTCTCGGAGCATTGTTAAAGCTGAGTGCTGTTGGAAGCTTCCAGATTTTCCTCCGTCGAAGAAAACACAGTCTTTACAGGAAATATAATATAGCAACAAGGGTTTGCTAGCGGTGTCAAAGACATTCAATTGAAAGCATCATCACACTCGTCTACCTTAAGCAAACTGTACTGTGTTTGCAGAATCGATAGCAAGCGAATTGTTACGTTGCATTGATTTAAGTTGCTCAGCAGATTGATGAAAAAGCTCCTTAGGAAAGCGAATATGTCCTACAGTAAATTGGTCTGCATTTACGACCCCCAAATCCATGTCTTTGGATCTGAGACTCCTATGCGCTGATCTTTAACCTTTAAACCCTTTTTATATATATTTTAAAATCTCTTGTCTTGTGATTCTTCCACGCTGTCTTTAAATAAGGGAGTTGACTTCCTGTTTCCATGTTCCCTCTCTCCCAATTCTGTCCTTTCAGATGACACCGTGGGCCAAGACGACGGATCTCCAGACTTCTACATCAACATCTGTCAGCCTCTGAACCCGATCCCCGGGGTCACCTGCCCCCCCGGAGCTGCCGTCTGCTCAGATCCTGATAATGGACCCCCTGTGGTGAGACACTGACAAACACAACTATACTGTACCCTTACATAATCAGAGAGCTGGTTTCTTTAAAAAAACTCAAAGCGACTCTAAATGACCTTGAAGCAGCCGCTGTGTCTGTAAATGCTTTGGCTAAACTTAGTGTATGACTGTGTTGTGATTGTGTGTCTGTAACTATGCTGTTACCATTCTTGGGCCAGGGTTCTCTTGAAAAATAGATGTTTAAACTCAATGAGACCTATCTTGGTTAAATAAAGGTAAAAAAAATAATTAAAAAAAATACCAACAAGGCGCACAATTAGACTCTTTACGCTATTTAAATATGATATGGAGGGTTTAAAAGTTCTGGCTGTTCTTTCTTAATTTTATTCTTTTATCTAGCATACAGTTTGGGTAGATTGTTTTACTTAAGGGGCTACAAGAAACCTCAACAAATATTTGACTCTAATTCAACTTCAGGTATTTCTAGATTTCACTTTTTTTTCCACATAAGTGTTTATTTTTCGGGGTCACATGACGCACTTAGAGGTGCTGTTAAAAAAAACCTCAATAAGATAAGATCAGATAGAACTTTATTGATTAATTAGAAACATAATGGAAACTAGGGCTGCTCAATTAATCGTATTTTAATCGCAATTACGATTATGGCTTGCAACGAAACGATTATTTTTATTATTATTATTATTACTTTTCTTTTTTTCTATACATTTTTTTTTTTGGTTTTTCAGTTGAATTATACTTAAAGTTCAGGGTAATCAACTGTTAAAAACATACTGTTCAAATTATTTTTCTCCAATAAATTGATGTTTTCAAAGTAAATGGATAATCATTTTTAATAATCGTGATATCAATTATAGACCCAAATAATCGAGATTATGATTTTTGCCATAATCGAGCAGCCCTAATGGAAACACAACTAGAGTTACAAAAAGTGTGTCTTTTCGTTTCCCTCTTTTTCGACCCTTCTTGTCCTCTCTCTCAATGTGTGTTGTGTTTTCTTTCCTGTCTCTTTCACTAACATTTCCTTTTTCCTCTTCTCTCGTTAACGCTCTCTTTCTGTCTTTCTGTCTCCTGAAGGACATCGGGCGGACGACCAGCGGTCCTGAGATCAACAGCGCTTCAGGAGAAGTGTCCATCACGTACAGCAGCTCCACGCCGTGTGCAGCTGATCCTGCTCAGAACTACACCTCCACCATCATCTTCACCTGCCAGAGAGGCCTGGAGCTGGTCAGTCTGACACTGGGGAGACAGGAAGAAAGGGGGGGGGGGTGGTGAGAGGAGGGAGATTATTTTAATTATTTGGCATTTGGAGAAAAACATTTGAGTTAAAGGTCACCTATTATGCAAAATCCACTTTTTATACGATTTTTTTAAAACAATTTTAATGCATTTCTTAACTTACATACCTATCCTTTTATATCTTTATCCAGGGCTCTCCAAAAAAATGTTGTGTTAAACTTTCAGAAACACTTTGATTAAATTATTCTCAAGTCGTTCATTTTTTACATTTTGACATTATTTTTGAAATACGACTTAATTCTAAAAATGTAGACTTATCTCATTATTCCAGTTTTTTAATTTAAAACATTTTGATTTTAATCTCAATATTTTGGCTTTATTATCAACGTTTCCATTCGTTATCAAAATGTTGTATTTATAATCCTTTTAACAGAAGATGATATTACCTACACATGCACAGGTCTTTTTACTTCTCTGACGATGTTTTTTAAACAATTTCAATGCATTTCTTAACTTCCATACCTATCCTCTCACATCTCATCCAGGGCTCTCCTCGGATGCTGAGGCTGCAGCAGTGTGTGTATCTGTTCGAGTGGGCGACCCCTCTGGTGTGTTCGGACGCCATACACACCGACACCAGCGGCTGCCAGCTCACTGACTCCCAGCTGCAGTTCACCTTCGACCTCTCCATCCTCTCTGGCCAAGTCCAGGTGAGCCTCATCGAAAATATATCTGACTTGAGCTGTACATGAATATATTCTTTATCTTAGATTATTAGAGAGTTCAGAGTTTTCTCTTTCAATTGTATGAGTTTATAATCTCTGAGTATATTTGAATTATTTTCACTAAAATCGTCAGTTTTTACATTTGTAATCCCAAACAATTATGAAAATTCTGAGTTTACATTTTGTATTTGTACATTACTCCCCTCCCCCATTTATTTACTTTAAATTGCCCTTATAAGCCTTCAGTTCATACTTTTATTGTAGATAACATATTTTCTATCCGTGAAGCAGGGTTTCCGTTAGCCGGTAATTACCGTTTTTTAGCTGGTAACATTTATTAAAAACCGGTAAATTCAAAACCTGCCAGTCAAAATGTCCGGTAATAATTAGGGATGCTCCGATCGATCGGCCGCCGGTCATTATCGGCCGATATTCACTCTTAATAGTTTGATCGGTGCTCTCTATAAAGGCCGATCAGGAGAGCTGGATCTGATCGATATGGACATAAACGCGAGTGAAGTATAACCGGACGCGCGAGAGAGAGAGATCAGATCAGCTGCTGAGTCTGACGGAGACACGCAGCTCTGCGCATCATTTTTTGAAAAATGAATCTGAACTTTTCGATCTGATACGATTATAAACTGAAGCAATATAAAAATGAGCCCCATTAACTGAGTTTTAAACATCAGCATATCCGGTCATAGTCCGGTAATTACCTGCTAACGGAAACTCTGCTACACAATTCTTATTATTATTATTGAAACATGACCGGTAAGTTTCAAATTTGTCCGGTAAATTACATTATTTCCGGACATTTGACCGGCAAGAAAGAATCCTAGCGGAAACCCTGCCGTGAAGGTCAAGTCAGACAAAATGAACTCCAGTTATTCATGTGTGTTCCCTCATATTGCCTTTAGGTGTACCTCTATAGATATGATAAGGTAGTAAAGTGAATTCTCTGTATGTCAGGTACCTGTGAACTCCAGCATTTACCACATCAACGTCTGCGGCTCAGTGACCGAGCCGGCCTGTAAGCAGAGTGCCGTCTGCAGGGTGTCTGGTTCTGGTTCAGATCAGTCCGCCTCGTCTTTTGGGATCAGCAAGGCCATGACCATGGACTTCAAACACGATGAGGAGGCTGTGCTGATGCAGTACGGAGGGGGGGATCCATGCCCACCAGGTACGTCTGCTTTACTTAACCTGTTATGCAACATCTTGCAAGAAACAGCGTCTGAGGGCTTCTTAACATTTAATAAACTATGAATGTGTCATACCCACTTAACGGGAAGAAACTCAGCTATCAGACAACATGAACAATTTTTAGCTAAATGAAACACAAGGGTAATAACAAAGGCTCTGAATTAGCCCTGAGCGATAACATGCTAACACAGTTAGCACAGAACTCAAGGTAAAATACCCTTATTACTTATCAGATCTGCACAAACAAGATATACAATAAACACAAGCTGAGATTCCACAGATTCCAGACTTATAAGTATCACCACTGAGCGATCAGAACTCGCGACAGGGGAAGCAAAAACAGACATCACAACACGTAGCTTCACGGAGGAAACAGAGATATTCTTACTTTAGCTATTGTTTTCTGATCAAAAGTCGTGTTCAATGGCATCAAAACAATAAGAAACTGCTGAAGGTTAATCCATACGTTAATCCAATGTGTCTGTGTCACTTTGAAATGATTTCTGATAATCCATCTTCATATTTACTAGTTTGAGCCTAGGTTTCGGTTTTCAGAGGGTAACATAGCTTTCGACTGCGTGCGCGTCACACTCACTCCTCAATGGTAACGTGTGTGTGTATGTGGAACCTCCCCTTCGATTCTATTGGCTCTAACGGTTCAAAAGAGATGTCAATCATCAAAATCGATCAATGGGTTCCAGAGAAACGGCAAATACACCCACATCCACCCAAATACACCCAAATGACCCCAAAGGTGGGTTCTTTTTTCTAAACCTCTCTAAAAAGGTCAAATGTCACTTGTTTTGCATCAATCTTGATACAGGGTACTTCTTATATGTTATAGTTTGGATTCCTAAAGCTTTTAGTCTACTATCCCATCATTCAAGGGTAGTTTTCACTATAAGTAATGGTTTATTTTTGGACGGACACTATAATTTACATTTCTTTACTATGTTCAATCTGAATTTACTTTAAAATAAAACAATTCTATATTGATTCTGACTCTTCTACATCCAACTCACAGGTTTATCATTGCTTTGAGAAAAAAAGATTATGAATTTACCCCTTTTAGAAGTGAAGATATAGTCATTTGTTCTGGGAATGTCATTTTCGAGCCTGAGGCCTGAAAAACAGGCTTTGGTCTTAGCAGGTTAACCTCCTCACATATTTAAACCCTATTAAAAAAGATCTGTCTTCAATCCTTTTATCTTTCTTTAATAATATAAAGGTATAAATCTTATTCTGTATTTGTAAAAGCTTCAGTAATATTTCAGTCTGCTGAGATTTGTAGTTTAGTATAGATGTGATATTTTCTTTACAGTCTTTGTTAGCCACTTTGGAAGAAAATAGTCCATGCAACTTGTTTAAATATTGAAAATGTAATGCTGCCATTTAAAAAAAAAAAGCTTTTAAACGTCAAGTCCAAGCGTATTCAATGTGTGCACGGCAGCCACTCAGCTCAGGAACAGATCTAGAAAATCAAGTGCCATTGAAGAAAAAAGCATACCGTAAGGGTATAAATAGCTTTTAGCGAAGTTGCTGTTCAACCACAAAGTAAATGTGGAGCCTTTGAGCCAAATACACCATAATAATTAAATAACATCATCATTTTTTGAAAGCATTTGTATTTTAATTGTTTGTTTGTGTTCTTATAGTGACAGATGACGGCGACGTGTGTTTGTTCCCCTTCACCTTCATGAAGAATTTGTACACCGAGTGCACCAAAGATGGACGGTCTGACGGCAGGATGTGGTGCGCAACGACAGCCAACTACGACACGGACAAGAAGTGGGGGTTCTGCAACGCAGGTGACCACTCATTACTGTTACTTTTATTTATCTTATATTTGTTGACTAGTTTTTATGTAAGAAAAAACTCAGAAAACAGATTTAATCTTTAATTAAGCATTTTCCAAAACACATGGTGTGTCTTTATAAGAGCCATTTTAAATGGGCGTTGTTGATAGCTGATGAACATTGAGTAAGAAGACATGACATTTCACTGCAAGAAAGGGCTTAACCCACTAGTACTTCTTCCCATCTAGCAAGGGTAGCAACCTTTAATCCACTTATCCTTTTAATAATCCAACAAATTACTTACTTTTGAGGTTTAGGTCTTAAGATGTGATACAGTTAGTCAGAAGAGTTTAACAGAGCAGGTAGCACATTTGAAAATGTCAATAGTTGTTTTAACTTAAAGGGGACCTATCATGCAAAATGCACTTTTGTACGTCTTTTATACATGAATATGTGTCCCCGGTGTTCCAGGGAACTCACCAAGTGTCAGAAAACACAACCCTCTCTATTTTCCTCCATACCCAAATCTCTAAAAAAGGGGCTGCAACAGATCTGATAAAAACTGATCCAGATTTGAACACTGTCCTGACGACAGGACGGTGGCGCTACGGCTATTGGGCCAACTCCACCAATCAGGAGGAGACAGCCACGGCCATTGCCGTTCGAAAGCGCTGGAGACGCTGTAGTACATATGCCAGGCCTGTAGATGGTGCTGTTCTCACAGAATCTGCCCTTGCTAAAACAGATCTAAAAATTGTCAAATTGAGCAAAATGAGGCATGGCTAAAATGCATGATCTGTTTGGTATTTAAAAAAAAAAAGTATAAATATGCCTTATATAGGTATGGCCCTACAATATATTATTCAAATATAGCATGATAGGTCCACTTTAAAATGATAAGTTTCTCTGACTGTGTTAAACATCTGTGCACATTTATGATACTAAATAAGAAAACCTCTACCTTTTTCTCATTTGTTTAAACATTCTCAAAATGCTTTTTTGAGTTCCATTTTATTAAAATCCCCATTCCTTCTCTCCTTTCTGAGTGACATGCTGCCTGTTCTGTCTCTCCTGCAGTCTCTGCTAAACACCTGAGCTCTGCTAAGCGCCCCGATAAACATTCCTGTTCGTCATCTTGCAATAAACTAATTTATATAAATAGTTATCACCGCAATAAACCGTATTTAATTTGGTCTTAATTTACATTATTTAGTTTCATATTCTGTTCTTGTACACATCATATTCTATTGACTTTTTGCACTACTTTTTATTTTGTATTGTATTATATATGTTGCATTGTTGGAGGAGCTCGGATCAGAAGAATTTCATTGCCATTTCTACGCTGTAGCTTTGAGCATATGGCAATAAAACCTTTGAATCTTTGAATCCTGCAGCCTCTGGAAAGCGTCAGTCCTCCATCCTGTTCAGCTGCGATCAGTCGGAGGGCCACGGCTCTCCTCGGCTGCTCTCAGAGACGGCGGGATGTTCGGCCACCTTCCAGTGGCGCACCAGCGCTGTGTGTCCTCCCGTGAAGATGGAGTGTAAGCTGGTCAGTCAGCATCAAACCTTCGACCTGCGGACCCTCTCCTCCCTCACCGAGCCCTGGAGGTTCAGCCACCACGGAGACTCGTACGTCTGATCGCACAAGATTACATTAGTTTAGAGTGGTTCCCAACCTTTTGTGTCTCGTGTACCCCTTTAGCTGGTCGCCTAGTACCCCCCTCACTCATCTGTGATAATTCGCCTAAATTCTTTCTTCTTTTAAACCCTTTGTTATCGTGTTCAACCCAACTGCTCCTAAATGAAAATCACTTGTATCACTCACATAACTACCCAGAAGTCTTTTAACTTGTTTTAGCACCTACTGTATTTACAATGTTGTTTTTAAACCATCTCTTTTATGCATGTTTTTTATGAACCTGTTATTCCATGATGTGTATTTATTGTGTTTCTTTCTGTTGTCTTCTTATTAAGTGTTAATGACGATGTAAAGCACTTTGAATTGCCTCCTGAAAATGTGCTATATAAATAAACGTACCGTACCTCTCTCCTGTGTGTTCCTCAGGTACTACATCAACCTGTGTCAGGGGATCCACGGCGGGCTCACAGGATGTCCAGAAGGAGCCACTGTGTGCCGGCGCACCGCAGCAGGAGCCACACACACTCTGGGGAAGGTTTACACCCAGCAGATGACATACACTGGTGGGTAACTAAGGTCATAAGGGAATATCTGTAAAAGATCCACAAATCAATTACTAATTTTGGCAATACAAATGTAAAGGATTGAAAATATTTAATTGGAAGTTTTTTATTTTAGTTTCAGTTAGTTTTAAAGGGGACCTATCATGCAAAATGCACTTTTTGATGTCTTTTACACATAAAGATGTGTCCCCGGTGTGTCGGGGAACTCGCGCAGCGTCAGAAAATAAAACCCTCTCTCTTTTCCTCCGTACCCAAATCTCTAAAAACGGGGCTGCAACGGAGCTGATCCAGATTTGCGTCCGATATGACGTAATATCTGAAATGTGGACCCACGGCCCTATCAGAAACGTTGCCATCAGAAACAATGCCCGACTGTTTTGGACGTAATATGGTCTTTGTTTACATTAGCATGGCTAACACTCGGAGCTAACCTGTACTGGAGAGCATGTGTGTGAAGAAGCAGGAAATAAAAAGGAACTCACCTTGTGGTATAACCGGCAAGAGAGAAAGCCTTTGAGCTCCATACTGTTTCAGAAATAACCCTTGATAATCCATGATATGGCGTTTCATCACGGCAGTATTTAGTTTAGACAGTAGCTGCCGGGTCCCGCATGAACTCAGCACCCTCCTTTTTTTATACTCAATTTCTTTTTTTCTTTTTAAAGCTTTATACATAAAATCAGCACTTTTGAAACAGGAAGTGAAATAGAGGGATATGAGGCATGGCTAGAATGGGTGATCTGTTTGGTACTTTGAGCAAAACACTTCATAGACATGTTTTTTATATATCTGAGACCTATGCTATTGCCTAACAATAGCATGATAGGTGACCTTTAAATTACTATAGATTCAAGATTCAAAGGTTTTATTGTCACATAACTACAGTGTAGAAATGGCAATGAAATTCTTCTGACCTGAGCTCCTCCAACAATGTAACATATATAATAAAATACAAAATTCAAAATAAAAAGTAGTGCAAAAAGCCTATACACTTAACCTTTGCAGGTCTTACCTTACCTACCTTTCCTAGTGTCGTAAGCTTCTACCTCTACCTCTATAGTTGTAGCTGCTGTTTTATTATTACTGTTTTTTTTGTGTATATCAGAAAATGTCCTGATCATAATCTCAAACTACCTCTGCAGATGGAAAGATCTCAGTGAGTTACTCAGCGGGAGACGATGTGTGTGGAAACGGCGTGAAGGCGAAGACTACGATCCAGCTGAGCTGCGGCTCCACTGTGGGACAGCCCACCCTCATCAGGTACACAGAAACACACAGTAAAAACAGCTGGTTTGTGAAAAGATCATTTTGGATTCCACATTAAAGAGCTTGGATCTGTTAGAAAACAAGCTTTAAGATGTTATTTCATTAGATTGAATCATAACTAAACTAAAGGGGTATATATTAAAAAAAAATGAAACAAGCAGGATGAGATTTGTTACATATTCACAATCTGCGTCATTGCACCTTCACATGACGCTGTGATGGACAATGAACTACACTCGCTTGCACTTGCTAACTCTGCCTGTTAATGACAGAACAGAATGTTAAACTCTGGTTTAAGCTTACTTTGGCGTGCATTGCCAAACATAACACACTTTGTCTTTGTTGATAAATACGTTTTGTAGTTAAGAAATGTCTGATTGTCTTTCTTCAGCTCTCTTAAGTAATGTTTTTGTTTCTATATCTCCATGTTTAGATTGAGATGAAAGCAGTCAAATGTATATTTTCAAAGGCTTTTTTTACTTGACCAAATACAATATTACTTGTTTTAACTTTAAACCTGACAGTTTCACAGCATTAGCTTTTTCTTCCTTTGGTTTTAAATTCACAAAGATCCTGAACTACTCAATCTGCCACCAAGCACGAGCCTTCTTCTGTTAAACCTTTATGATTATTGATGCTATCTGTTTCTGTGCTATCAGTGTTGATAAGGCCTCCTGTGAGTTTGTGATTGGCTGGGAGACTCGCTCGGCGTGTGCGGTGAAGCAGCATGAGGTGGAGATGGTGAACGGGACGATCAAGGTCCCCGACACGGGAGCCAGCCTCAGCCTCGGAGCGCTCTACTTCAGGTGAGAGCAGCCGTCCACCTAAAATGCACTTGTTGATGTCTCTTCTACATCAACATGTGTCCCCTCTTCTCCATGTCTCTTCTACATCAACATGTGTCCCCTCTTCTTCATGTCTCTTCTACATCAACATGTGTCCCCTCTTCTTCATGTCTCTTCTTCATCAACATGTGTCCCCCTCTTCTTCATGTCTCTTCTTCATCAACATGTGTCCCCTCTTCTTCATGTCTCTTCTACATCAACATGTGTCCCCTCTTCTTCATGTCTCTTCTTCATCAACATGTGTCCCCTCTTCTTCATGTCTCTTCTACATCAACATGTGTCCCCTCTTCTTCATGTCTCTTCTTCATCACCATGTGTCCCCTCTGTGTAAAGAGACTCTGAAAGTTTCAGGAACAAAGATTCTCTCTCTTTTTGTCCTGATCCATTTCTATAAAAACCTGTCTGAAAATGAGCTGATCAGATTTTGGCCACTTGATGTCATAACGATGTTTTGGCTTGTGTAACCATTAGCCAATCAGCAACCAAGGTAACCCCCCCCCCCCCACCATATCACCTGAATCTCCTCCTAGAGCACCATTGAGTTCTTTGTAACCAAATCTCTCTCAGAGGGGCGTGGGGAGGGGCTCCTTATTTTCATCTAAAGTAACAGATAGAGAATCAGCACTTTTGAAACAGGGCTGAAACAGAGGGGATTATGGGATGCTGCAATGATCTGTTTGGTGTTTCAGCCAATCAGAGACAGGTTCTGTATATATCTGAGAGCTATTATATATTGATGAAAAACAGTATAATAGGGGACCTTTAATGCTGATCTCTGTACACCCTTCTTCATGTAGTGTGTATGTACATATGTCCCACCTTGTTGCAGAAATAAGATTTTGGTGTTGGTCTGTTTACACCAGGGCGGCCCAAAATTGGATTAGATTTGGCCCACTATATTTTCTTGCAAAAACAGTAACTTATATATATTTTTTAAATATATATAATATAAAGCGCTGTCTTCTGCTGTTTTTTCAGGAGATAAAAAAAAATGTTTGAAAAGCTAGGATAAAATAAATTATAAAATACATATTTTTTTGTGAGATAAAAAAGGTATAATAAATATATGATAATAATAATAATAAAAATAGGGATTTTCCAAGTACTCAATAACACTTACAAAAAATAATTTCATACAAGCATACAATTTAAAAATACATTCAAAATGCAATAGAATACATCAGAGATAAAGAAACAAGAGAAAGTCTCCGTTTTGTCTCTCCAAGGGAAAAGTGTATGCACTCCTGCTTTACACCCTCTCTCTCCCCCTGCTCCCCTCAGCCAACACGAGGCGTCCGGAGACATCCGTCCGAACGGCGACCGCTACGTGTACCAGATCCAGCTGTCCGGGATCACCAACCCCTCGCTCTCCGCCTGCATCGGAGCAAACATCTGTCAGGTCAAACTCAACGCGACGTACAGACGCAGGATCGGATCCTCCAGCAAGGCCAAGTACTACATCAAAGGTAATTTAGTCACTGACTTATCATATCAGGAACATGTGTTGATCCTAGTTATTTATGTATTCATTTATTTAACAGGGACAGTGCACATTAATCAACATTTCTGTAAATGTGCCAGAGTTAGGCAAGACGTTATTTTTCATCTATAATCCCTGGACAGATTTTGTAATTCAACCTAAAGACACATTTCATTTTAAACAAGTAAATACCATCAAATAAAAACATGCAACATACATTTCTGGAATACTTAATGAAAAACAGAACAATAAACAAAACAAAACAAAAGAACATGTTAAAACACAGGCAGTGGGTTGTAAGGAGCAGATTGTGTCAGTGTTGGCAGAGCTGATTCCTCACTAACCATGTTTTGAGTTGGGACTTAAAGGGGACCTATCATGCAAAATGCACTTTGTGATGTCTTTTATACATAAACATGTGTCCCCGGTGTGTCGGGGAACTCACGCAGCGTCAGAAAATAAAACCCTCTCTCTTTTCCTCCGTACCCAAATCTCTAAAACGGGGCTACAACGGAGCTGATCCAGATTTGCGTCCGATATGACGTAATATCTGAAATGTGGACCCACGGCCCTATCAGAAACGTTGCTATCAGAAACAATGCCAGACTGTTTTGGACGTAATATGGTCGGTGTTTACATTAGCATCGCTAACACTCAGAGCTAACCTGTACTGGAGAGCATGTGTGTGAAGAAGCAGGAAATAAAAAGGAACTCACCTTGTGGTATAACCGGCAAGAGAGAAAGCCTTTGAGCTCCATACTGTTTCAGAAACAATCCTTGATAATCCATGATATGGCGTTTCATCACGGCAGTATTTAGTTTAGACAGTAGCTGCCGGGTCCCGCATGAGCTCAGCCCCCTCCTTTTTATTTAATACATTTTTTTAAAGTTTTATACCCCAAATCAGCACTTTTGAAACAGGAAGTGAAATAGAGGGATATGAGGCATGGCTAGAATGGGTGATCTGTTTGGTATTTTGAGCAAAACACTTCATAGACATGTTTTTTATATATTTTTATATATCTGAGACCTATGCTATTGCCTAAAAATAGCATGATAGGTGACCTTTAAGTAAACTGAATGTAGTCTGGTCTCTGATTGTAGGTAGGATTTAGTTCCATCGCTGAGCAGCTTTAACAGAAAATGAAGACTGACTGAAAGAACCTTTCCTGAGTGGAATAATGCAATCTCCTCTCGTTGCATCTCTTGTTATCCTATTTGCAGTTATAACATAAATATCGAATTCATTTAACAATAGCTTCATGTCTTATCGTCTCTACAGGAGGGAACCTGGACGTGATGGTGCCCTCGGAGTCGGCCTGTGGACGTGAGAAAACCAAAATGGTGTCGTCCACCATCATGTTCCACTGCAACCCGTCGGCAGGCGTCGGCATCCCAGAGTTCATGCTGGAGACGGACGAGTGCCAGTATCTGTTTGTGTGGCACACGGACGCTGTGTGTGGGCTCACGTGAGTTAAAGGGGACCTATCATGCAAAATGCACTTATTGATGTCTTTTATACATAAAGATGTGTCCCCGGTGTGTCAGGGAACTCACGCAGCGTCAGAAAATAAAACCCTCTCTTTTCCTCCGTACCCAAATCTCTAAAAACGGGGGTACAACGGAGCTGATCCAGATTTGCTGTCGATATGACGTGATATCTGAAATGTGGGCGGGCTTTACACCCACGGGCCTATCAGAAACTTTGCTATCAGAAACAATGCCTGACGTGTTTTGAACGTAATATGGTCGGTGTTTACATTAGCATCGCTAACACTCAGAGCTAACCTGTACTGGAGAGCATGTGTGTGAAGAAGCAGGAAATATAAAGGAACTCACCTTGTGGTATAACCGGCAAGAGAGAAAGCCTTTGAGCTCCATACTGTTTCAGAAACAATCCTTGAAGTGGTTTGGAACATGATGGCGTTTAATCACGGCATAATTTAAATGAATCTGCTGGTAGAATTCTGAGCAGGCATTAGCTCCACCTGTCTCTCTCTCTGTCTCTCACCTGTCTCTCTCTCTGTCTCTCACCTGTCTCCACCTGTGTCTCTTTCACCTGTCTCTCTTTCTCTGTCTCCACCTGTCTCTCTCTCTGTCTCTCACCTCTCTCTCTCTCTCTCTCTGTCTCTCACCTGTCTCTCTCTCTGTCTCTCACCTCTCTCTCTCTCTCTCTGTCTCTCACCTGTCTCTCTCTCTGTCTCTCACCTCTCTCTCTCTCTCTGTCTCCACCTGTCTCTCTCTCTGTCTCTCACCTCTCTCTCTCTCTCTGTCTCTCACCTGTCTCTCTCTCTGTCTCTCACCTGTGTCTCTTTCACCTGTCTCTCTTTCTCTGTCTCCACCTGTCTCTCTCTCTGTCTCTCTCTGTCTCCACCTGTCTCTCTCTCTGTCTCCACCTGTCTCTCTCTCTGTCTCCATCTGTCTGTCTCCACCTGTCTCTCTCTCTGTCTCTCACCTCTGTCTCTCTCTCTGTCTCTCACCTGTCTCTCTCTCTGTCTCTCACCTGTGTCTCTTTCACCTGTCTCTCTTTCTCTGTCTCCACCTGTCTCTCTCTCTGTCTCCACCTGTCTGTCTCTCACCTGTCTGTCTCTCACCTGTCTGTCTCTCACTTTTATTAATTCAGTAGTTTAACAGCAACAGGGTAAGGATGAAAAACAGGACAGCACAGATTAATAAAATCAAAGATAAAAATAAAAATTATAAAATAACTATCAAATAAGAAATGAATTCAAATGAAAATATATACATATTAGATTAATAATTAGATTACATTATTAATTGTGTCACATTGTTGACCCCTTGTTGTGCAGCCTACATATACATACATGCAGCAAATACCCTATACTCCTACGAATCTTCTGTATACATATCTTCGCCTTCTTCATTTTCTCGCAGAACTATTGATGCAAAGTCCTACGACGACGACGACAGTGTGACTCCAGTGATCACCAGACGCAGCCAGACGATGAGTCTGATGCTGAGCGCCCTGCTGCTCAGTCTCACCGTGTGCCTGCTGGGACTCCTGCTGCACAAGAGGGAGAGGAGGTGAGACCAGGAGCATGGGACAAACGCAGAAACATTGAAAGATGTTGGCAGAATCTTCACATACGTCTGTCTTGTTATTTCCTCCCAACAGAGAGCTGGTGATCCAGAAAGTAGCTGGCTGCTGCAGGAGAGTGAACCAAGTCTCCTATAAATATTCCAAGGTAGGTTGAACTAATTATTTATAACAATCTGAATTTGAAATGTTTATATCATATTCAATTGATATCTTTGTGAGTTTGCTGCATGGATGTATAATAAGAAGTGGATACAGCGTGGGAGGCGGGGCCGCGTTCATTCCTATGAGAGTTGCTCATTGGCGCATGAAGACAAAATGGCCCAACTTTTGAGAGAGAGAAACGTCACGAAAGTATTCATATAATCATATAATCCGTTCTTATTGTGCATCCATGGGTAAAGGTACAACTCATGTAGTACTGAACACGTCACATGAACGTGCCGGGCGGCGCGGTCCCGTGGGTTAGATGCGCGTTCATAATACCGAGGAAAATAACTCTCAGAATAACGTTATTAGCACATTTTACAACTTGAGGACCGAATGTTTTTAATAAGGGCTAATACAAACGTTCATACTGGGTAGTTTATTTAGTTAAAAAAAAATTATCCAACGATTTACAGACGTCTCTTTCCCAATGTAAGTCAATGGGAAAAAGTCTTTCCGGGCCCAGCGACTGATACGGAAGTGTAGTACCGCCGTTTGGCCACAACGAATATTTTCCTCAGAGTCCGGCGCACTTCCTGGGGGCTTGGTTTGCTGCTGCAAAAAAAAAGACACGACACACCATAACAATCTGTGATGGACATCCCTCTCTTTTTTCTGACATCTTATAGACCAAACAACTTATCAATTATTCTAGAAAGTAATTGTTGGATGGTTATTGGCCTTTGTTTTGAATGAAGACAGAACTTCTTCTGTGAATTGACTTTATCTGTTTCATTGTGTTGCACTGTGGGAGGAGCCTGTGACCTCAGATGTTCATCGTCATAACTACCCTGTAGCTGTGTACAAATGACAATAAAAGCCTTGAATCTTGAACCAACTTGTAATCCTCAGGTGAACATTGACGAGGAAGTTGGAGAGGAGGAGATGGAGTGGCTGATGGAGGAGCTCGAAGGCCCTCCCTCTACCTCCTCATCTTCACAGCGGGGGAAGAGTAGCCACGGTAACGGGCACATCAAAACAAAGCCGGTGAACACGGACGGCCTGCGCTCGTTCTCCCTGGACGAGCAGGACGACGACGACGACAGCGAGGACGAGGTGCTGAGCGTCCCGGGGGTCCGGGTCAAATCCTCCTCTCTGTCCCGCGTCTCTGCAGCCAGTCGCAGCCCCTTCCTGCAGGTGAGACACAACATCTGTCCAGGTGTTTCTACCTGCTCTTCAAAACCAGACAGAGGATCTACCTGGAGCTCAGTCTCTGTAACAGATAAGATAAGACTTTATTCATCCCAAAGGAAATGTACGATACAATAAACACAGCAGCATAATAATACAACTGTACATTAACAGTGCAGTAAAAAGAGCAATTCAATATCTACAGGAAACATACACATCATTAATGTAAATATTAACAGTATTTAGTAGTGCAAAAAAACATAGTGGCAGATACGTAATTGCACGTTATTATAGAACATTATTAATAATAATAATATTGCGCAGAGAGTGTTTTGTAATGATGGTATTTATATTGCACATCATGGTGGTGTCGAAGTTCTCACCCCTAGATTCCACCGGCTCCGTCTGCGCCAAGTTACGGCCTCGTTACGGCCTCGTTACGGCCTCGTTACGGCTGCGCCGCGGCGTTCACCGCGATCGAGGCCACTCTAGTCAATGGGTGTTATTCCACCAGACGCGTCGCGTTACGGCTATAATAATAATAAATGTAATTTATATAGCGCATCTCATCTTCGAAGACAAATCTCGAAGCGTCCCAGAAGCGTCTCGGCGCTGGGCTCCGCTAAAAATAGGCGGCTGGTCTATTTTCGACGTGACGCGAGGCTTTGCACTGCGCCGAGCAGGAAGTGGAACGTTCAGAGCATCCAGTCAATCCCCAAAAGAAACTCATTTGCAGACCCTATCCCTCCGTAGTCTTTCAAGTAGGAGGAGAAATGCCAGCGTTCTCCTCCGGTTTACAGGCACTGTGCAAATTATATAGAATCATTATGATGATGAATGCCCGCGAGGTGCAGTGGGCATGCATGACACGGCGCTAACAGTTCACGAGTGAGTGTGCGCCCCCCCCCCCGTCAGAGTTGTGTACAGACCGACGGGGTGATAACGTATATTGACGGAAATTGTACGATCCTGTCCATCAAAATGACGGGCAACGAAAAAGTCTAACGCAACCTCTGCCTGGGACACAAAAAAAGATTCTGATTCGTGTGACCTTTCTCTGTATTTACATTTCTATAACGTGTCTCTGTGTGTCTGTGCCATCTTTTGAAAATGTTATTCACTAAACCCCCCTCTCCGATGTGTTTGACTCCAGGAGGAGAGCGACGAGGACCTGGTGGGCCTCCTGGAGGACGAGGACAGGAAGAAGAAGAGCAGCAAACCTCGCTCCTCAGGCGTTAATCACGGTAACAACACGGCAGCAAACAGGAAGCGGGACGAGGAAGACAGCGATGAAGACCTCCTCAGGGTGTGATGTCTCTTCCTGCTTCCCGCTCTCAACCAATCTGAACTCTTCTCTCTCAGTGAATGTCTCCATAACAGCAACAAAGACACACCAACAGCAAATTGAAAGCAGAAACCTTTCCTCTCTTTTGGGATTTATTTTGTATTTGTTGGACTGCACCTTTTCTCGGCCTCAGACTCGATCTGTCTGTGTTCTTATTTATTGATAGCTGATTATTTAAAAGGGTCGTTTTTTGACCCGCACCCTATTTTCTTTCTCACATTTTCTGTCATCATTTCTGAAATAAAATAACTTTCCCTCGTTTAGTTACTTTGATCCAGCCACATGTATCGAACTAAAAATCAACCCCAGATGCACAAAAAGCATCTTTGACTTTGCAACGAGGCACGTCGGTTAAAAAGCTGAACATTAAATTATATTTTTCTTTTATTTCTTGGGTTTATGAAATGAAGTCGTGCCATTGCTTTAGCACTTTATTGTAGCATTGATTAACTGATGATGTCTCATTGCAAGCGAAGAAAACATTTGGAGTTGATTTTTAGTTTCCAGGATTGTGAGTGATGACTGTGGGAAGATGTACGATTAAGTAGCTCGATATGGAAAGCATATTTTAGGAGAAAGACACAAGCTATCAAATAAAAACAAAGGGGGGGTCAGGGAAGGTGTCTGCTTGTTGTTTCTAAAGGGAATGAAGACACCCGTCTTTTCTTGCTGTTTACAGTTGCTATAATAGCTCTCGCGATGCCTTCCTGATGAATCGTGTCCGGCGACAGACTGATTAATTTTTTTCTCGTTTTTGATCAGAGACATTGTACAGGATTATGTTCTATAATATGGACGTTTTGTTTGTTTGTTTGTTTGTTTGTTTGTTTGTTGTCCTCACTGGTGAATTGCTCACACATTTGTTTTTATGATTATTTAAGTGGGTGTCTGTCCTTTGTGGAAATAATAGAGATGGCCTTAAGTGTGAATGGATGGTCGACGAGGACGGAGGTTGAAAGTAAAATATGAAATGTTTTGGTTTTTTTCAGTTTTCAATCCCCTCCCCTTCCCTCCCCCCAAAAAGCCATATTCCTACCCTCCGCCGCTGGCACTAATGTATTGAAGTTGAGAAGTTGTGTTTCCGCTTGCACGCTGTCGTACATTAAAGGCTCAGCTCTGGTGTTCAGGTCTGTGATTGTGGATGTCGCTGCGTTGAAAAGTCCGATTTTTTTTTTTTTCCTTCTCTCGAAGCCAGTTGTGCTGGAATCAGCCCCTTCTCAGCCAAACGCATGAAACTAAACGAAAGAAGCATTAAAGTATCAAGAATGCGAGCAGGTTACTTACATTTAACATATTGTCTGCTTTATTATCTAACTAGTGTAAAGATGGGAGATCCAGCGCAGAGATATCTGGGTAAAGTCAATCAAACTACAGTGTGCACACATGAACTGAGCAAGCCTACACAGTATAAACAGAGTATTCGTGCTCCTTTGGTCCCAGACAAGGTTTTTTGACTTTTTCGGTTATACAATTAGGACTCATTTAAAAACCCACAAATAGCTGAAAATCTGCACCAGTGTAGTTTTGGCCGCAACTAAACAATATTTTCATTTTCCATTATTAAAAAGTCAAAAAATAGTGAAAAGTGGCCCTTTATAAATCCTCCAAGAGTCCAAGGTGATGTCTTCAAATGTGTTTGTCCAAGCAATATTTTTGAAACTCTGTAAGTAGTAATAATCTCTGGGACACTTTTCACTTTGTTTTTATCACAGACTTGATTATGTGTAAGGTGATAAATGGAATAATTGATAATGAAAATAACCATTAGTTGCAGACCCAAGTATCGTCCATTTTCTTATATCAGTAAATACGAAATGGGGTTTATTCTCACCTGGACAAATGACCTGAACTGCACACTTTATGTTGGTGATTGTTCAACCTGTTGATTAATTGACAGAACGTGAACAAAGTATTGATTTGACATCACAAACATAATGAGCATTTCTCACATCAATTACATAATGGGAATGACAGAACATTCACTTTTGTGTTTTTCAGTATTTAATCCACAGAAACTAGAGATATTATCAAAACATGTCGTGCAAAGAAGGCTCACCTTTCAGGGTATTTCTAAAGCTTTTTACACAAGTTTTTGTAGGATACCATTTGTCCAAAACACACACAAAAAGGATAAAAAAAAAAACCTTGAAATGGGAAACAATCAGTATTTTATATGGATGAGTTTGGGATGTCCCATAATAATTAACAAGAAGAGAAAAACATTATGTCCGTCGTCTCATGCTCCGGATGTTCAGTCACTTATTGTCCAGAAGTAAAATATCCAGAAAGATTTGAAGCTTTGTTCACATTTTGTTCTAAATAATTAATTATCATGTCACCTGTCGACCATATCATTAAGACAAGTGTTAGAAAGAGTTTAAGACAAATAAATTGAGGTTTAGTGCAGAGTTCATAGAACTAATCAATTAGTGCTCTTATAACTGTCCACAATCCATGTCTATCAATTAAAACCACTCCTCGGTCCAACATCCACTCCGCGTGTAAACCTCAGTTGTTGTCCTGAAAGTGTTTGACTTCCTGATCCATTAGAAGGAGGTTTGAACTACCTGTGTTTGGCACTTTGAACTCAGCTCATATCTCACGAGTGAAAGTCGTAACACTGCTCGTTACGGAGAAGAAGGATGGTACCGTTTTTAATATGTGAAGTCTTCTTATTTTCCATCGTTGCATAAAGTCTGTTTTGCTGTATTTAGCAACCAAAGTTAGCGTGGCTCGTCTGCATGGTACTCTGCGAAGAAATGAATGGACATTTCTTGTGCTTTTTTTTGTCTGCACTCGAGCAGAGAGATGCTTCAGTGACGTGAAAGTAATCCAAATACAGATAAATGATCTTGTGGCGACTTTAAAAAAAAAAAAAAGCACAAGAAGTTTTCTCTGATAATTGGGTACTATGGGAGATCATTATTCAGTTGGTGTACGTTATGTTGTCTGATATGTTTTTCCTATTTAAAAATAACATTGATGTAAAAAGTATTGCATTCTTTGAATAAATACGATCTGCTGTTTATCACTGCTGTGATCTGATAACATGCCTCATGATATAACTCAGACACACACACTCCGCAGAATCTGCACTTGGACTTGTTTGGAAGGACTTGTATTGAATAACTTTGGTTTGAACTTGGGTTTAACATAAAACAAAATGTATACATAATTTCTGTTGATTTGGGCATGTTTCCTGGACAGGCTACTTTGTACAGACAAAGTTAATAATAATTGTAATAGTCCAGTTATAAACGACATGAATCAAAGATGTGTTGCTGTATTTTAGTGGTAAAAAAATGCATTCATCATCATAATTATTCTATATAATTACACAGTGTCTGTAAACCGGAGGAGAACGCTGGCATTTCTCCTCCTACTTGAAAGACTACGGAGGGATAGGGTCTGCAAAATTAGAGTCTTAAAGGACTTGAGACTTGACCCTGATTCAAAGGGCACGTGACCTGGACTCCTCTCAAAGGTATCATGGCTTGTCTGGGTACACTCATTGGTTTGGACATAGGGCCGGTCCTTGGCATCTAGCAGTATAGACGAATGCTAAGGGCACATCCATCCATGGGGGGAGCCGAAAATTGTGAGGAAGAAAAACAAAAATTCATACTATTAATGATATTTAATAACACAACAATTTCCCAATTTGGAATCAATAAAGTACATCTTGTTATCTTATCTTAACAGAACTACGCCTACATTGCGTACAGCGCCAATAAACTATGGGGCTCCCCCCCCCCCCCCCTAGTCAGGTCAGTTGAAGTGCCCCAGGGGGGCAGGGGGTTTTCTCTGGACTGACACTTGACCTGCGGTGACTCGGGGAAAAAGACGCTAACTAGCTGATCATAATTAGCCATCACCATGTGGGAAACTAACAAAGCTATCTGGTGCCCAGGGAAGAGAAGAACATGAAAGAGGAGGGGAAACGTGACAAAGGTACAGTAACATTAATGTGAGGATGAATCAAAAGCCAATTGAATTTATGGAACAGAATATTAACTTGCTAGCTTACTTTTAGACGACAGCAAGGTCGTTTTGTTTGCTAATCACTAGTTATATTTAGAGTTAACGTCAATTACTCCCACCTTCAATTCCATACCTACCCTGTATCTTGAATATGCTGTTACACTTACTTAATACTTAGTTACTTAACTGCTTCTTTGCCATCTGGTTATATGCTAAAGCTGAATCTACAGGTGCTTCTCAAATAATTACTATATCATAGAACTTTTTTTCTGTCATTTAATTAAAAATATGCATAAAGTGACATATTTCAAGCCTTGTTTGTTTTAATTGTGATGATTACAGCTTACAGATCATGAAAATCACTAATCCTGTATCTCAAAATAGTATAATATTAGATGAGACCAATAAAAACAGATATTTCTGAAAAGTGTGTTCATTTATGGTTCTCAATACTCGGGGCTCCATTTGCACAGAAACAATCCCTGATGATTTGAGACTAGATGTTTACAAATATGGGAAAGGTGACAAAAAAGCCCATAACTTGAGAATTATCACTCTTTTCCTCTTCAGATTTGCTGAGGTATGAACCAGGTGGCTGTCCTACATCACCAAATAGTCAGACAATTATTTAACTAAAGAAATACTGAATTTTAGTCCTGTAAACTTAGCTTTAGTTTAGACGGAAATTGTACTTTTTGGTGATAGGAACATGACTCCATCACTTTTCTCTCATTTATCAGAAAACAGAAATCCCTAAAAAAATATACCATTACTGAATTGTCTAGGGTGCTATTGAACACTAGCCAGTAGTTGTATGGAAATATCTGGTACATTTCTATTGCAAATGAGATTTCTTTAGACATAGGCCTACCTCTTCTCTGATACAGTCACATTCCGAGTGGGGGTAAGTGGCATAACAGCCTATAAGTTAAGCATGCTCACTCTGATGGTCATCATATTTGGAGAGGGAAATACCAGGTGGCTGAACTACATCACCAAATAGTCAGAATAAGAGTAACCCAATAAAATAAAGTGTATTAGTTCTAAATGGCAAGCCTCTAAAACATAGGTGTAAATAGTACAGGTTTTATTGAAACTGGAACCTTAAAGGTCCCATGTCATGGCCATTTCTACTGATCATATTTCCATTGTTGAGGTATACTAGAATAGATTTAAATTGTGCAATTTTCCAAACTCACATTGGTTTCTTATACAGCATCTCTGTATAGTATGTGTATTCACCAGATATTCACTCTCTGTCCTAAACGGCTTGTTGGAGCTCCTGCCCGCCCCCTCCCTGTGAGCCCAGTGTGCTCTGATTGGTCGGGACGTTGCGAGGGCTCGTTGCTGCGAAGCTGCTGCGAGGAGCGGGACAGGTTTCCGGGTCGGCGATACAGCGAGAAGAAGCGAAACTCATCCTGAGCACACACAAACACTCACAGCCGAAGTAAAAACAATAAGTGTGGCTTGATATTGAGTAAGAAAAAGGTTTATAACGCTGTGAGAATGGGTCTGTGGAGAGCATTTCTCCGCCATCCCAACTCGTCTATTACCAACCAGGGGAGCTCTATGCAAGTCAATGGGGACTCCCTGTTAGTTAGCCAAGGGATCCTGGTGTGGGAGGTGCTCCGCGGATTGGTCCATTTGGGCCAATCCGGTCATTTGTTGTTGATTTGGGTGTTCACACGTCACAGAACCCAGGAAGCAAACAATGGAAAAAGAGAAATCTCCAACGAGGCGTTCTGGGGCAGCATAGACAGGTCTTTTCTGTGTTAGAGTTTTACTCCCTACAGGGTGTACTTTGAGGGTTTGTGACTATGCAGACCGTTTACATGCAGAAAAAACCTTCATAACACACAAGGGGACGGGGAATAACCAGAAAAGCATGACATGGGCCCTTTAATTCAAAGTACAGTATACAAATCATCAAATAATTCTGTGAGAGGTGAAGTATATAGATACTAGAAGCGTTAGGGGACACATTTGGACATTCTGCACAGCAGGTGCAGAGCTCCGTACAGGGAAGGCCAACAGAGAGGCCTGGAACCTTCCACTCTCTCCACACTTTGCATCTTTGCAATACAAGACTGTATAACTCCATACCAAGGGTTTGGGTTCGGGCTGGGACACCATATCGCTGTCTGAAACATTGCTGTTGAAATGCATCCTCTGTTGGCGTCAGATTTTCAGAGGCTGCATCTGTTGTTGATAGGGTTGCAAAGGGGCGGAACGTTTCCAGTACATTTCCATGGGAAGTTAGCTGGGGAATTTGGAAATATTCCATATTGAAATAAATAAATACATTTAAGTTTTCCGTACTCTCGCGGGAATATCTCCGCGAGCGAGCTTAAGTTTAACTTTCGATTGCATGATATAGCCCAGCGCAACACCTTCATCACACATGTTGCCACTTGTTTGTACATTACATTACATTACATGACATGTTACTTGTTAGACGCTTTTATCCAAAGCGACTTACATACTCAATACTGTGGACAATCCCCACAGGAGCAATTTGGGGTGAAGTGTCTCAGGGACATGCTGACTGCAGTGGGGTTTGGACCTGTGCTCCCCTGATCCAAACACCGACGCACTATACCACTGCGCCACAGCCTCCCATAAGCTGAAAAAGACTCTTCCAAGCTGGCAGAGAGTCCAAAATGGGCCAGATCGTTGAGCTCGCTGAGATGGGTCTTGAGTTTGGTGAATGCTGTTGTCTTTCCTATTCTGTCCAAACTACTTGTTGTGCCACAGCCAGTGAGTGCATGACATGCTGGTAGACAGTTAGACATGTCTTTTCCAATTGCCTCACATATGGTGTTGATGGGGACATATCTCTCTCATTCCATGGCCTGCATGCATGTACACTAGAGATGAACCAAACATGTTTGCATAATATATGAGCAGTACTTCCACATCTGTGTCATCAGACCTCACAATGATGCGGGAATATGACTCTGCAAGATGTATGGCATGGAGCACCATCCTTGTGTCTGCCTCCTCCGGATCACTGTACTGTGATGTCAAACTGCTGACTCCTGCTCTTCACCTCCTCCCCTTCTGCTATATGGAAAATGGAAAAAGGAAAATGGACTGATGTGCACAAACTTGTTGCAATCAACAACAGATGCAGCCTCGGAAAATCTGCCGCCAACAGAGGATGCATTTCAACAACATGTTGAGCAACAGAGCAATGTTTCAGACAGCGATATGGTGTCCCAGCCCGAACCCAAACCCTTGTTATGGAGTTATACAGTCTTGTTTTGCAAAGATGCAAAGTGTGGAGAGAGTGGAAGGTTCCAGGCCTCTCTGTTGGCCTTCCCTGTACGGAGCTCTGCACCTGCTGTGCAGAATGTCCAAATGTGTCCCCTAACGTTTCTAGTATCTATATACTTGACCCTCTCACAGAATTATTTGATGATTTGTATACTGTACTTTGATTTAAGGTTCCAGTTTCAATAAAACCTGTACTATTTACACCTATGTTTTAGAGGCTTGCCATTTAGAACTAATACACTTTATTTTATTGGGTTACTCTTATTCTGACTATTTGGTGATGTAGTTCAGCCACCTGGTATTTCCCTCTCCAAATATGATGACCATCAGAGTGAGCATGCTTAACTTATAGGCTGTTATGCCACTTACCCCCACTCGGAATGTGACTGTATCAGAGAAGAGGTAGGCCTATGTCTAAAGAAATCTCATTTGCAATAGAAATGTACCAGATATTTCCATACAACTACTGGCTAGTGTTCAATAGCACCCTAGACAATTCAGTAATGGTATATTTTTTTAGGGATTTCTGTTTTTCTGATAAATGAGAGAAAAGTGATGGAGTCCCATGTTCTTATCACCAAAAAGTACAATTTCCGTCTAAACTAAAGCTAAGTTTACAGGACTATAATTCAGTATTTCTTTAGTTAAATAATTGTCTGACTATTTGGTGATGTAGGACAGCCACCTGGTTCATACCTCAGCAAATCTAAAGAGGAAAAGAGTGATCATTCTCAAGTTATGGGCTTTTTTGTCACCTTTCCTATATTCGGC